AAAAACCCACCCTGATTGTGATCAAATTATTTATATAAAATATACTGAAACCTCTGGAAAATATTTAGTGCAACTGCTGAGAAATGCAGGGATATTTCTGCCTTTCTGTCTGGGCAATCATCAAGTCTAATTCCTCTACAAGGATTATTTTTAGGCAGCAGGGATGTTTAACACCTGGAGGTGAAAATTGCATTCCTGGATATGTGTTTCAGTGGGCAAGGTGCCAGGCAGGAACTGGGCTGGGAGAGTGGGAGCCAGAACCCTTTCTAGGGCTGGACATGTGTTGCTGGCTAGATTTTAAAATATGTAATTACTAGGACTAAATTATAAAGTTCCCTTGTTCTAAAAATAAATACAGATGGAAGTGAAAAAAGTGAATTTGTAAGGAATTAACTGGTTTGCACACACAAAGAAGAAACCAGGAGAAAAGAAAGATTTAATATTGTTAATATTCCTTAGCTCATTATCAGGAGATTTTTCCAGTGTGAATCCTGAGCCATCCTCTCAATGTCCAGGTCTGACATGGGTGGTTTAAAAGGTGGTTAATTAATTACCCTAATGAGGGGAATGGAGCAATCAGAGCAAACCTGGTGCTGGTGACCAGCAGTGGTTTTGTTCTGCCTCTGATGAAATAATAAAACACCTCCTCAGGAGCATCTTGTCAGCCTTAACTGGGCAAGTGGAACCATATTTTAGGTAAGATGCAAACCATGGAGGAACAATTCTTGCTTTTTATGGGAAAAAAAGGCAATTTATTTCACTGTTCTTCCCAATTTTTCCATTCCCCACCCAGCAGTTGGTGAAACATTCCCGTGTCCGCCCTGCGACACTGCCTGTGGAGAATCAGGGATTATCCTTAAAAACTGCCCCTGTGTCTGTGCAGCTGATAAAAGAAGTCTGTTCCAGAGCCCAGGAGGGGCTCCTGGCTGGAGGGAACTCCTGACCCTGAACTTGCAGCTCCAAAAAAGGGTAAGAAACACGTTTTGTGGCCCGGGCCGAGCGCGCGCCGGCCCCGGGTATTTATAGAGTTGTCACCGACTCCTCCAGGCTGGTGATAACCTGCCATTTATAACTCACTGCCCAGCAACTTCCTCCAGCCCACCCCAGTGAGAGCATTATCAATGATGGAGGCACTAATAAATAATGCTGTTGGCAGGGCAACAGCCACCCCTCAGAGTGCTGGAGATCCTCGTGTTGGGATCATGACGGTCGGAGTCTTCCAGGTCCTCAACAGAGAAAAATGAGATTTATTTTTTTTTTGCATGTGTTTCTTTGAGGCAGCTGAAGGAACTGGGGACAAAGTACAATATAAACCACCAAACTGTTTACCAAATGCCAAGCTAAATGTAGGAATTGCCAGCTTGGATTACCTGCCATGTCTCTGTGGTGTCCGGTGTCTCTGAGTTATCCAGGCTGGATGTTCTGTAAGGAATGTCCCCAACAGCCCATTATTGTCATCCCAACTCACATCCAAGACATCCAGGATAAACTTTTAGTTTAAATCTTTTTAGCTGGGATGTTACTTTTCAAATCATCTGTCCTTTGGAGACCTTCTGAGTTTTTGGCTTTAATTCCATCTTGGAGCAGTGAATTCCTGAGCTTCATTTTCCACCACGAGAACCAGCATTTCTTTTAATCAGCCCTAATTCTGTGACATTTCCCTCTACCTTGTCTTCGTGTTTTTGTTTAGCAAAGTACAAACTGAGGCATATAAATATTCTCAAAAAACAACAGAGTCCACACCCAGTCAAGATTTGGCCCTGGGGGGAGAGTTGATCATTGATTCCAGGATTTGATCCAGATTTAATATTTGTTTAAATGGGCTCTGCTGCCATTGTGTGCATAACTAGGGATTGATAAACCTTTGGCAGCACAGGTGGAGCAGAGGGAATTCTGATCCAGAACTGCAGCTCCCTCATTTTGCCCAAGGGACCAGAAAATAAACACTGAAGATGCTGAGCTTGGAAAGCATTCCTTAAATCCTGGAAAGTTCTGTCTGGAAGGGAGAGAAAAAGGTCCTGCTCCGGCCTCAGCTGCACGAGTTTTTAATGAATGGGATAAAGTCACTTGGCACTTGTTTTGGTGCTTCCTCCAGCAGCACGTCCAGGGGACAGCAATTCCTGTGGGAAGTGGCTGATTCCTCTCCAAAGCTGAGAGGCACCAGGAGAAGGGACCCTGGGTGGTATTTTGGAGGTATTTCTCTTGCAAGCAGAAGAGGAACTGCTGGCAGCAGGAGGAAAGGCAGGAAAGGCAGTGCTGGGGCAAAATCTGCCTCAGGTTAATGGGGAACATCACCAAAACTGAGCCCAGAATTTGGCCATGGCAAGCCTGAAAAAACAGAAAAAGAAAAATGGATAAAAACCCACACCTTGATTTCCCCAGTGCCTCCAAGAGCCCATTTCCACAGGAACTCACACCCAAGTTTACTTGGTTTTTACCAAGAAGCCACTTTTATTCACTGTTTAAAACCTGTGCCCACAGTTCAGATAATGGAATTAATCTGAAAGGTCTTCCCTGCCTCAGGCTCTTGGCCTCTGAAGCTAAAAATGACTCTTGCTGCTTCAGCAGATATTATCAATTACAGGTTTCAATTAGTCCTGTGCAAAACAAGAGTGTTCGGTGCACAAGTTCTCACAACATCCAGCTCAGATTAGGGCTGGTTTGACAGGTAGGGCAAGAATTAATTGTCAAGAAGAGTTTTCATTGTTCACCTTAAAAAAAAAAAACAAACAACAAACCTTTTATTACACAATTGCTTTTTTTGCAGCCTGGGAGTTCCAACAATGCAGGAAACATTTCTCTGTCTGCCCACCTATTGAGAACTAGCACAGGCTATTAAAAATAGGTCTTTTTCCAGCTATTTTGGACAAAAAGGAGAGCAGTGGGGGGCTGTGAGCAGCTCTGTGCTGAGTGTCCATGTGCTGCCCAGCAATGTCAGCAGCAAGGTTGAAGGAAACCTGAGAGGACTCAGACAATCAGTGCTCAATCCCTGCACTTCTGGAGGGATCAGCAGTTCCTATTTACATTTTCAATGGATTGGCATCAATGAGGCCCCCTCGTCCTGCCAGTTGTTCCTTCCCAGGTGGGCTCGGAGCTGCAGTGCAATTCCCAGAGGTTTAAGTGTGTTTTTAGTGGGAGAGGCCTTTGGACAGTGCTGTTCCAGAGCTGATTTAATTCCATCTGTGACATCAGCCCAGTGCAGAGGCTTCTGCAAAGGCAGCTTGTTATAAATTGGTGGTAAATGTCAGATAAAAGCATCATTTTGCTGCAAACAACTGGAGGTAGGTGTGTAATAACATTTACATTAATATTTCATTTAAGCATCTCTTCAGTTCACAGTCACCCAGACCAGTAACTTGTACTAGTCCTGAAATAAGAGGGCAAGAATTTGCAACAAAAAAAAATAGTCAAATTCACTGCAAAGGTAGAGAATCATGGAATGGTTTGGGTTGGAAGGGACCTTAAAGACCATCCAGTTCCACCCCCTGCCAATTGTTCAATCTGTGGATTGAATAACTGCAGTGAAGAGGTTAATATTATATATTCTATATATTTTATATGTATATGTATTTGTAATATTGTGTGTGGCTTGAAACAAAGCTGAATTCTGTCTCTGGGCAATAAAAACATCATAACTAGCACGAGATTTGGTTATAAAAAAATCAAAAAAGCAGCAGAATTCCCTTCCCTGAGCTGTTTGATTCCCTGATCTCTCCTCCTCAGTGCACCTCAGGAAGGTGTCCCTGCCCTTGGCAGGGGGTGGCACTGGATGGGCTTTAACGTCTTTCCAGCCCAAATAATTCTGTGAGTCCATGATCTTTCCCTTAAAAACTGGGATATTGAAAGAGATGTGAGGAGAGGAGGGAACAGAGGGAACAACCCCCAGGGCTCAGAGCTCTGGGTCACTTCCAAGCACATAAACATTTTTTCCACAATCCTCCCATTTTATGAAGAATGAAGGTGAGATTCCTTTACCTCTGGTTCTTTCGGGCTGTTTCCCTTCAGAACTAGGTTTACATGTGCCCACAGTTCTTATCCACACCTCTAAATGATCCCAACCTCTGCTCTCCAGGAAGCCCTGACAGGACTCTCCATGTGTTTGGAATCAGAGAACATCACGGAATATTGTATTTAAAATCAAGTCATGGCAGGACTCGGATGATCTTAAGGGTCTTTTCCAGCCTTAATGATTCAATGATTAAGGTTGGAAAAGACTTCCCAGGTCCTTCTTTCACTGACACCTCCCTTTGACAACCACATCCCAGGTTTGCTGGGGGATTTTTCCTTTCCCTGTGAGCCCCTTTGTCCCTGCTGGGAGCCCAGGATTCCTTTTCCCTGTTGGACTGTGATCCCCACCCTTCCCTCTCCCAAGGCCGGTGCAGTTAAGGAACAGAGTGAACCTCCACAAAGCCTTGGAAACAGGATCTGCCTGGTCGGTGCAGTGTCAGGTAACCCTGGCACCAATATCCCCCTCCCTCCCTGCTCGGTGTGTCCTCAGCGCTGTATTTCCCTGGAATAGCTGTTTATGGATATTCCAGGGCAGGCTCCTGATGCTTTCCAGTCGTGCTGAGGCCAACGCGTGTTTCCAGGGCGCCGCAGCTTTATTTTCCTGCCAGAGGGGCCGCAGCTTTATTATTTTACTGCCATCTACTGGAAAAACCAGAATTATTTTTAAAATTGTTCAGGAACGGGCTGAGGCCGGGCCTGCGCCCCCCCGCTCTTCCCCAAGCCGGGCCGGGCCGGGCCGCCCTCCGCGGCCTCACGGGGCAGAGCGGGGCTTCAGGAGGGCCATCCCGAGGCGCAGCGCGGCCCCGATTCCCGCATTCCCCGTTCCCGCTTCCCCCAATTCCCGGATCCCGGGAACGCTCCCGGAGCGGCGGCCCCGCGGTTGCCACGGCAACGGCGGCGCGCGGGGAGGCCCCGCCCCTGGAGGCGCGGCAGCCAATGGGAGCGCTCGCGGGGGGGGTCACGTGGTGGGCGGGGCGGCGCGCGGCGCGGTGAGGAGGGGCCGCGCGGGGCCGGGGGCGCGCAGAGCGAACAGACCGCCGCCATGTTCGGGGGGCTCGGCAGGTGCTTCGAGGAGGATCCCTTCTTCAGGTGAGGGGCGGGCGGGGACCGGCGCTCCGGGGAAGCCAGTTTGGGGCTGTAAGGGGGCGGTTGGGGTGCGTGTGAGGTGACAAGGAGCTCCGAGGACCGTCAGGGGTGGTGGGTCGGAGGCAGTCGTGGGGCTGCGAAGGGCCGGTCCAGGGCTGTAAAGAGGCGGCTGGGATGGGTCTAAGGCGGTGGGGGACTAAGGGACCGCCTGTGTTACGAGGCGCCGGCCGGGGGTTGTAAAGGGGCGGGTGTGAGGGGCCGGCCGGCGGTGAAGCGGCTCCGGGCGCCGCGGGAGCGGGGTCTGTGCGGGTCAGAGGGGTCGGTGGCTGAAGGACGGGGTCTGTGCGGGTCAGAGGGGTCGGTGGCTGAAGGACGGGGTCTGTGCGGGTCAGAGGGGTCGGTGGTTGAAGGACGGGGTCTGTGCGGGTCAGAGGGGTCGGTGGCTGAAGGACGGGGTCTGTGGGGTTGCAGGGCTCGGTGCCGGTTGAAGGACGGGGTCGGCGCGGTTTAACCGCCGCTGTGTTCGCACCCGGCACCGCCCGGGCCCCCCGAGCCGAGCAGGGGTTAAAGGCTTGAGCGATGTCCAACAGCAGAGCCGGGTCTCTGTCTCCACTCCCGACTGGGAGGGGCTGAACCCCCGTCCCGTGGTGGCACCGACTGAGGGGGAATGGTCACCTCCCTTGGATGGAGTCTCTTGGTTGTGTTTTTGTCCTTTTTTCCTAAACACAGAGGCTGAGTGTTGTAGCTTTTCCGGATTGATTTATTTATTTGTTTAGCTATCTCTCGGCTCTTGTCAGTGCCAGCACTACAGGCAGCACCCGGTGTTCTTCAGTTAAGACTTTGCAAACGCGTGCATGAGAGCACTGAGGACAAACTGTCTCCTTGTGCTGTTTCTCAAAGGGATGTTGGTGCTTTTTCTCAGCTGGTTGATTTTTTTTTTTAGTTCTTATTCCCTGGGAGGGTGGGGAGGCCCTGGCACAGGTTGCCCAGAGAAGCTGTGGCTGCCCCATCCCTGGGAGTGTCCAAGGCCAGGCTGGACGGGGCTTGGAGCAACCTGGGACAGTGGAAGGTGTCCCTGCCCATGGCAGGGATGGCACTGGATGGGCTTTGAGTTCCCTTCCAACCCAAACTTGTGATTCTACTTCTACGCCATGAGCACAGTGGTGGGTCATGTCTGTGTATTCAAGTCTAAGATCAGTTGATTCCCTGTGGGAATCTTCTTTTGGCACTGGAATCTAAATCTGAGTAGTGAGTTGTGCAAGTCCTTCTGCCCTCAGCCCAAACTGCTGAGTTATCTGCTCTGGCCCCATGTTGTGTCTTTGGTCAGAATCTAATCTTATAACAGCAGGTGAAAATGGCATCAGAGAACTCTGAGGAGCCTCAGTGATTGTTGTTAATCTTTAGAAAAACTATGAGGGATTTAATTACAGCCAAGATCAGGGGTGAGGCCTGGGGGGTGGATGAGGAAGGGGAATCAGGCCCTGTGCTGTGGGTTTGTTGTCTGATCTCCTGGTTACGGGGTGTTGTGGCTGAGGCTGCTCAAAGGACAACCCTCTGCTGAACTCCAGCACATTCCGAGCAGGGGGGGAGTTCCCAAAGCTCTACTGCAGGGATTAGTGCACTTGGTTTCCAGGAATATTCCTGCTGTTACAACAGCTCCTGAGTTCCCTGCAGGAAACTTCCCTGTGCGTGGAATTAAAGTAATAATGGAAATTAAGTCTTGTTTGAAATATCTGTGGCTTTCTTCTTGTTTATGAGTTTTATTTATTGTAGCCACTGAGGTAGGGAAAGAAGATTACAGGAGGCAGAGGAAGGGAGTGTGTGTGAAAGAGATGAAGTGGATATGGAGGCTCGTTTTCTTGGCTCTATCCTTGTAAATCTGTTTTGCATATCGTTAAGAAATGAGCTTATTACTGAGATAATCTTATCTCCAAATAGTGTAATAATGAGCTTGTGTTGCCTCATAAGGAGAGATTTTGATGCTGAACTGGAAATAGTGCCTGGGTTCGAGTGCCCACGTGTGAGCAGCTGTCCCAGGGAAGCACCAGTCACTCACCAAAGGTGTCCAGCTGGATCCAGCCCTGGAACCCTGGGCAGGTGCAGGACCTGTGTCTTCCCTGCCAAGAGCACTTGGCCTGTGCTTTTAATGCACCAAAGCACAGCTTTTGTGGTGTTGTGCCAGCTGTTGTCTCCAGAGGGGATCTGCAACTGCAGCCTCCCAGAACATCCCGAGGGGGGAAAGAATATCTAATGTTTATGTCTAAGATATTATCTAATAAAAACATATCTGAGAAATATATCTAGTAACAAGAAATATATCTAACAACAGGAAATATATCTAAGACAAAATACACTTTTCAAGAAGAGTAAAAGGAATTTATTGTTTTAAGACACTGATTTTTCACACCCTCCAGTAAGGAGTAAAACTGTACTTTTGCTATAACACCCTGAAAGGTTTTAGCTGGAAAATAGATCCTTAAACTTTGGAGCTGTCCCCTTTATTAACCCCTGCAAACACCTGACTGTCAGGTGAAGGTCAGGTTAATATGCAGTAGACAAAATTTTGTTACTGCAGAGTAGTGGAACAACAAATGTATAAATTGTTGGTCTCCATCCAGAATTTAATTTTAAAAATAATACAGTTTGTGACATGTGAAGGGCATGAAGTTGATGTGCAAAATTCTTATGGAGCTCCCTTTCTACATCACTTTTATGCTATAACAGAAATGTCTTTCTCATCAAAAGTATCTTTTGCCCCCTAAAAGAGATCAGAGTTAAAGTCAGATGTAATCAGTAAAAATCAGAGTATTCTACACCTCTTGCCATCCCATAAAATCAGTGATTGGAGCAAGGATCTGAAAGTCTTGCATCCTGCACTGCAGAGACTTGTCCAGTCCATCTCTATTTTTAAGGGTGACCTCCTCCTTTTGTAACTGTGGTTTGAGTTTCAGTCATCAGAGCCATCAGTTTAATTCCCTGGAATCCTTGTGTCCCAGATGGGTTCTCTGTTCCCTTTCCTTTGGTTTTGCCCACTCCAGGTCATACCAAAGCTTGACAACACTGGATCTTTTTAGGGCTGGCTCCCTAAAATATCCCAAGGGAACTGGGAGACTTCACTTCTGTTCCTGAGCTGTCACTCCACACTCTGGATCCTCATTCCCTGTCTCTGGCAGTGAGGAGCTGGATTTCCGAGATATTTCATAAATCTTTAATACAAACAAACCACAACCCCCCAGGGTTCCAGGTGCAGGTGAGGTGTGTTACAGCATGTTTTTGATGCTAAATTCCACCAGTTCTCCCTGTTTCCATTAAACCTCTGGAGTCTTGTCTTGCTCCTGTGTTGTGGGTAGTTTGTGAGTGTCCTGCTTTTGAACTGGAAGGGGCAGGGGAGAATCCTGATATGGATCAGTTCCTGCTGGAATACAATTCCTGTTCATTTGTGTTTGGTGACCAAACTATCTGAAGCTGGAGATCTGATGGAATTGTGCAGGTCCTGGGGAGGTGTTTGTGTCCTTCCCTCCTCTTGGCTCGTGCCTCCACTTTTTCCATCTGTTCTTCATCCTGAAGTGTGGGAACAGCTCCTTATCATGGCAGGGCTGGAGCCAAAGCTGGGAGTCGGGGCAGGGGCTGCTCCAGGACAGCACTAAAATGCTTTAAACTCTAAAGATCTCCTTGCACTGGGTGATTTTAAGTCTGGGTGTAGCTTAAAGGGATATTTTTAGTTAAAAATCCTGTTTGGAAATTAATCCTGCGTCATGTTTTTATCACTTAGAGGAGAAAAAAAAGTAATTAAATGCAGCTTTGGCAGAAGATCAAACTGGGCACGTGAGGTGGAAACTGGGGGCTGGAGATAAGGGCTGGGGAGCAGAAAGGCTGTCCAGGAGATAATGGGCATGGAAGGAGCTGGAGGGACAGCCTGAAGCTTTTCCTCAGGAGATATCCCGGGAAAGGTTGTGGTGTCCTGGATGGATGAGGGTGTGGGGAGTGCCAGGGATTGAGAGGAGGGAGGATGAGGTGCTGTTAAGTCTAAATAAACATACCTGGGAAGTGACTGTTCATGTTAATAGGGTGGCTTTCAGTAGAATGACAAAGAGGGAAATTAGATGGAGGGAGGAAATAATCCATGGGAAGTATTAATTTGGAGTTTGGACCTCAGGCCACAGCTGCTCATCCGTTGTGCTCCTGAAAAAAATCCTGGTTTGCTCCTCTTTTGGCCTCAACTAGAAATATTTAATTCTTGTCCAAATTAGAAAATGCAGAAAATCAAGAAAGTTGAGCAGTGTTTTCCCTGCAAGTCAAACTTTGGGAATGCCAATGGGGTTCTGTAGGTTTTTGGGAGAGGAGAAGGGGGGAAACCAACAGGAACACAAAAAGTCAGTGGGAATCTTTGTTCCTCAGCAGAGAAAAGGGATGTGGGAACATGATTTGTGGAGAGGGAAGGCAAAGGTGCAACAGTGGGTGACTAAAGGAGATGGAGCTGGCCTGAATTTAGAGGATAATGTGGATTTTCAAGCATCTGGGACAAGGAGGAGGAAAAGCAGGATGGGAGCTGGCAGCAGAATAAATTTGAGGGGTGAGGAGAGGGAATCCAGTGGGATGTGAGGAGGTCAGTGAGTAGGACTGTGCCAGGCTTTGGGAGACGAAAGGGGGAAAATCAAAAATAAATTCTTTTAATATCAGGTGTTGGAAGTGGAAATAGAGATAAATAAAACATAGGTGAGTTTATAGTTCCTGGCAGAGAATAAACGTAGGCTGGAGTGGGAGATGGCTGGGAAGGATGGAGTATTTCTGGAAAAGACAAGGAAAAAGTAATACAGCCATTGAGAAACAAAAGAGTTCATTAGGAACTGGAGATTGTCCACTTGGGTCCTATGAAAATAAAGGTTTTTGCATAAAGAACCACGTGGAACGATTGAAAAATGGGGTTTGAAAGCTTTCAGAGCCATTGGATGTGGCTCGGAATGAACCCCAGCGAGTCACCCTGTGGAATGTGTTTTCCAGGGATCCCTTTGCTGCCCACCATGAGCACGTGAGGCAGATGATGAGGAGCTTCTCGGAGCCCTTCGGGAGGGAGCCGTTCCCGAGCCTGCCCGAGGGCAGGGACAGAGGGGAGCGAGCGCTGGAGCGGAGAGCGCGCCCGGACTCCCGGCTGGCACCGCGCGGGACACGCAGGGTACGTGTCCCACTGCCCAGGGAACGGGTCCCACTGCCCAGGGAACGGGTCCCACTGCCCAGGGAACGGGTCCCACTGCCCAGGGTACGTGTCCCACTGCCCGGGGAGCGGATCCCACTGCCCGGGGAACGGGCATTTCCTGGGAAACACGGCCCTGGGAACCTTGGTGCTGCTGTTTCATCGCCCGGTGCAATGGGAATAACTCCTCTCTTGGGCTCATCCCTGCCAGGCTGAGCTCAGCTCTGGGTGTTCCCTGCTCAGTCACACACGATATTCCACGGACAAACCAAACACTTCGCGCTTGGTTTAGTCAAGATTATGTAGTAAATGTTTCTGCTACATAAAGGCATTAAAAAATGTCCAAGGACAGAGACTTCCCTGAACACCTATTCCCTTTTTATGTTCACTTTACTTAAGAGGGTACCTGGATATGGCTCTTGCCATCCCTGGAAGTGTCCAAGGCCAGGTTGGAGCAACTTGGTCTAGGGGAAGGTGTCCCTATCCATGACATGATCTTTTAAGGTCCCTTCCAACCCAAACCATTCCCTGGTATCTTTATGCCTTCCCTGTGCATTTTAGTGTCCTACCTTCGGTTATTATGTTTGGCACACCCCCGTGTTTCACCCTCTAAGTAGAGATTTTAAACACAATTTCATCTTTGCAGCAGTGAATAAAGGCTTCACGCTCCGTATTTGGGCTGATTCTTAATGTTTGCTCTGGATACAAGCCTGTAACAATTAAAGATCAGGGAAATTGATACAAAATTTAGTATTTCTGGATGTTGCCAACTGAGACTGAGAGGTTGGCAGGGATACTTTGAAATAAAGTGTCTTTTCAACTGGGCACACAGGACAGTTCTCTGCTGCCCTGCTGCAGCTCAGCCTTTTCCCAGTGCTGTATCTAGAGAGGATATACACTGGGAGGTTGTTCCTTTCCCTGTACATATTTAGCAGCTGCAAATCTCCTGCTGAATGGAGTTTAAAAACCGTTGGAAGACAAAGGCACGTGATGAGGGCTCGTGGCTCTGGGCCAGGTTTGGGTGGTTGGTCCAGCCCAGATAGTCTGAGCTCAGTAAAGCAGAGCTCAAACCCAGTGTGTCATTCCTTCCCCTCCTCATCCACTGCCAGTCCCTTCAAATATAGAAGCTGCTGGATCTAATTAGGGCAGAGCTTTGCTCTCCTGATCCTTAGGCTTTGGATCAGCAGGTGCCTAAACCTGGATTTTTTCCTTTAGTAAAGGAAATGTCAAACTGCCTTTAAAGCTTAGGGGGTTGTGTCCCTGCTCCTGCAGGGAGGGGTCAATGTGAGCCCCCCAGCAAAGCTTTCCTTTGGTTGCAGCAGGAAGTTAAAGGTCCAGGAGCACTGTGAGAGTTTGAGAAGCACAAAGGAATTCCACACCTGCCAAAATCTTTCCAGGATCTTTTGATGTCCCTCACGTTTCACCAAAGACTTGGCAGATGTCACACGAGACTCAGCACTGATGAGTCTCATCATTTGCTCCACCAGTGATTTAAACACTCAAAATTAGGTTTTTATGTAGGAAAAGGCTGAACCCTTACTGCCATGTAAAATACACTTGTTTCAAATTACCCACGCTGATTACTAGTGTTGTAATTTTATGTTTAATTAAACTGTAGCAGGCCTAAAACTGCTTTAAAAGAAACTAAATTAGTTGCAAAACCTGCCATGTGTGTCACTAAAGCATTCAAATTTGAAACCAGCAGCAGTGTCAGTTTTGAGGGAAGAGGAGGAAAGGGGATGGAGCAGGAGGAATGGAGTGAATATCTTAAGAGACACTGTCATTTAGGTTTGTTGGGTTATTTGATTGTCCTGTATATTAGACAACTACTTTACAGCTTTCAGTGTGTATTATAAACCAAAGTTTATAAACTTTTTATGGCTAACAACTTATTTGAGAGGATCTCTTTTGCACTTGATATATATATATATATAGGAAGAAATAGATTATTTTTTACAGTTCTGCCCAGTGTGTACTGCCAGAAATCTGAAGAGTTCCTGAAGATATTCCAGAACTGGATAATTCCTTCCTTTTGTAGTTACAGTTCCTGTGAAGGGTTTGGTCCTTCTGTGTGCCCCGCCTGTCTTTGGGCAGGCCTTTCTCTGACCCTCCCATCTTAGTTTCCTGGAAACATCCCAGTGTTTCCCAGGATCTCCCTGCCCTGTCATACTGGGGTGCTCACTGGCAGTGGGTCAGAGGTGTTGATTTGTTGATTTTAATAAGCTTTCAGTGGTTGCACAGCTGGAGTGGAGCATTTCAGGCCATGTCTGGAGCTCTGAGCCGTGTTTAAATCACATCACAAGGGGGTTTGTGGTGTGCAAATGTTTCTCAGCCTCCAGCTCTAAGTGCTTTTAGTACATCCTTATCAATATTTATTAAATGTGGTGGCAGCTCTCACTGTCTAATATCATTAGTATAAATATTTCTACATACCCAGAGACTACTTGATATTATTAATTACCAAGTTCTCCTGAGTGACTGGTTTGATTTGACTGGAAGTGTTTAATGTCACCTGCTGTCTATAGAAGTTATTTCTGACAACAGGTAAAATACTTAAATCTGTTGGTCCTTTTTTTTTCCAGGCAACAAGCTACTCCCTCATGCCCTTTGCAGGCTTTGGGATAGGGGTTAGTATCCCAGGAGTAGCTGCTACTCCTGCTAGTGGGTGTATGCTGTGTGTGTAACCAAAGCATGGGCTCTGTGCTTGCAACCTGCCTTTGGGGGTGAATATTCAGAGACAGGGAATAATATCCTTCAGCAAAGACTGTTTTTCCCCTTGCTAAATAAAAATGCTGGGCTTTGATCCCTGGATATGGATGGGATGGTCCTTGGAGAGACTCCAAGCTCTGAGTGCTGCCTGTGGATGGACATTGGCAGCTTGAGCGTGTTTGTGGGGGTGATCCCACAAAACCAGGAGCTCTGGTCACAGCTGAGGCAAACCAGCTCCTGGAGGGGGAATCTCACTGCAACTGGCCTTGGAGTGTTGTTCTGCTGTAATTTGGGGGGCTGGAATATCCTGTAAAATATCTATAATCTGCCTGTAATTCAGAGCCCTTAAGGATTCCAAATTCTTGTACTCAAGAAATGAGCTGAAGATTTTATATATCTGAATTTTACTTAGTTTGGGGCTTAAGCTGCAGATTCAGTTTTTAAACTTTGGAATTAATTTATTTCAGTTTAAAGCACGAAGGGTCACACAGTACTTTTACAGCAGAACCTGATGAGGTTGGAAGGTACATGAAAACTTTTGTAAAATAAACTCATATTGTCTCCAGTTTGACATCTGAATGTCCAGTCTTCCACTTCCATCTTCCCAGTATCTCCAACTTAACCAAGCTTCCATGCTACCTTCAGTTTTCCTTGGAAAAGATGCATTTTGGCTTGTCTGTGTGTGTGAATTGCAGTCTGAAAACCTTTCTGATGCTCTGAGTTGCATTAAAAATGCATGTAAAAAACAGCTTCAGGACTGGAAGAGTTAGAAGAGTGTGTTTTAACTGTGATATCTTTTTATCAGGATGCAGATTTTGGGGATCCATTTTCTGCCATGGACAGGATGATGTCAAACATGAGGAACAGTATGCTGGAAATGCACAGGAAATTTGTAAGTTCTTCTAAAATTGGTTATAAAATTAACTATTGAAGAATGACAGTTATTTGAAATGTCACTCAGAAAAATGTTACTCATCTCAAGGAGACAGTGAGAATTTATATTTTTTGCCCAGACTATATTGTGGTTATAATTTTTCTTTAGTCTTTGAAAGTAAAATTGAGAGTGTTGCCCACCAGGCCTTATCCGGGGTGCCAGGAGAGTTAATTTAATCACAATAAAATAGTAAGAAATACCTGTTACCACCAGATTTCACTGTTGTTGATGAGTTGCTGTTGCTGTGTAGGATGACCTGTCCATGAACCCCGATGGACACACGTTCAGCTCCTCCTCCATGATGACTTACTCCAAAGTGGGGGATGAACCTCCAAAGGTTTTCCAAGCCTCGGCCCAGACTCGCACGGCCCCGGGAGGTGTAAGTATTCCTGGCATCCAGCTAAAGCTGGGCTGCCCTTACCAGGATTGAGGTTCAGCCACACCAAACCACGCTTTGCTCAAAGTTCTTCTCACTGGAGAGAGTTACTCTTGTCATTCCCAGAATCCCTGAGGTTGGAAAAGCCCTCCCAGCCCATGGATCCTCCCTGTGCCCCATCCCCACCCTGTCCCCCAGCCCAGAGCACTGAGTGCCACGGCCAGGCCTTCCTGGGACACCTCCAGGGCTGGGCACTCCAAACCTCCCTGGGCAGCCCCTGACAGTGCCTGACCACCCTTTCCAGGGAGAAATTCCTCCTGATGTCCAACCTGAGCCTCCCCTGGCACAGCTGGAGGCCGTTCCCTCTCCTCCTGTCCCTTGTTCCCTGGGAGCAGAGCCCAACACCCACCAGCAACACAAAGAAAATGTAAAAAGTGAGGAAAATACATGTCTCTCAAACACTGCTTTATATTAAAGGCTTCTTAAAGGACTCTTTTCCTCCTTGTAATTTATATGCTTTAAATAGAACCTAAATAAATTATATGTTTATCCAAAACTGGAAAAACACTGCCAGAACAGCTGATTCTCCAAGGCAGCCTCTGATGTCTTTCTCTTTGCTATAATTAATCCTTTTCCTGCCCATTTAAACTCCAGGAGAGGCATCTATTTCTGCCAGCCCTGCCTTTGGATGCCCCCTTTGCTCAGGCATTACATAACCCCGAGCTGGAGCTGCCCTTCCAGCCACTTCCCTGCAGCTGTTGTGTCTAATTCTGCCCAGACCTTGGAACCTGAGCCCTGAAAGCCTAGAACTGCTCCCTAAAGGGGCAGCCCTGGGGCTGTGCCAGCTCCTGCACACTCTCACTCATCACAGTGGGTATAATAATACCCCATGGACAGCAGGATAAGTGGTTGCCTGGGTTTCAGGCCAGTCAACACCACAACCTAATAATGAGTTGTTCCTCACACTGGGAATTTTGCCATCGGGTGTTGCTCGTTCTGTTGTCAAGGAGAATGTTGAAGACTTGGCTGTGTAGTAAATTTAGACTGGGGTTTTTCCCTCCCTCCCCAATAATTAATGTCCAGTTAAGGTTAATCTTCCTGTCCGTTGGCAAAAAGAAAATAGACTTGATTTGTGTTTTGTTGGTGTATTTTCAGCCAACACAGTAAATGGGATAATTGGAAAAGCCTGTGAAACCTGACTTTTATAAAGGAAAGATATAAAACATTTGGGGGAGGAAATAACTTCACAAGGGTCTGGAGTGACAGGACACAGGGAATGGCCTCCAGAGGGCAGGGTTAGATGGGATATTGGGAAGGAATCCTTCCCTGGGAGGGTGGGGAGGCCCTGGCACAGGTTGCCCAGAGAAGCTGTGGCTGCCCCTGGATCCCTGGAAGTGTCCAAGGCCAGGTTGGACAGGGCTTGGAGCAACCTGGGCTAGTGGAAGGTGTCCCTGCCCATGGCAGGGGGTGACACTGGATGGGCTTTAAGGTCCCTCCAACCCAAACCACTCTGGGATTCTGTGAACTGTTTAACTTCTGTTTTGGTTGGAAAGATACTGATTTTCCCCTTTTTTTTGTACAGGTTAAGGAAACAAGAAAAGCACTTAAGGATTCTGAAAGTGGCCTGGAACAAATGGCCATTGGCCATCACATCCAGGATCGGGCTCATGTCATCAAAAAATCCAAGAACTGCAAGACTGGGGATGAGGAGATGAACCAAGAATTCATCAACCTGGATGAAAGTAGGTCTTTTTAGGCAGTTCTCTAATGGGCTTTACACTGTTTCACACAGCAGTGTGGGAGTTCCAGCTTGAGGCATCTTAAAAGGGACTTTAAACAGACTGAAAGTCTGCACATCAAATCCTCTTTCCCCAAAAAATAGCTGCAGACCATGTGGAGAATCATGGACTACAAAATAAAAAATCACTACTCAAACTCACTGATATTCATTATGCTTATTTTCTTGTCTTTATTAAAAATAAAATATAAATTTATCTGTGTTCCAGATGAGGCCCAGAGCTTTGATGAGGAGTGGCAGAAGGAGGTCATGAAGTTCAGACCATCCAGAACTAGAAGCTCTTTAGAAACTCCAAAATCCAGAAGTATCAATTACAAGGAGAATGGATCAAAAAGGTAAAAACAGTTTCCTACCTATATAAGGCAGGACTATATAATATATATAATAATAATATATATAATATATACCTATAAAAGGTAGGAGTAATTTCCTGAATAAGGAAATTCCAGCAGCACAAGGAAAATCCAATTCTGGAGCAGATGTGTTCATGAACAGCCAATTCTTGTCATGCTGAGGAGGAACAGCAGGTTTTATCCCTCCTTTTCCCCTGGCGATTGTGATTGTTGTTGTTGTTGTTTTCCAGAGAGAAGCTACTTGGAACTGGAGGTTCCAGAGTGCCCAAAGATTCCTTGGAGTCTCTCAGTGTGAAAGGAACACACGTCCCCCTCAACAAAAGCAACAGGAAATAAGTGGCCCCATTCCCCCGGGATGGAGTTTCTCCCAGCAGATAATGGTGCTCATGTCCATACAAATACACGGGATATGTGACCAATCTCTGTTTGTGTTGTGCCTTTGCTCCTCCTGGATGTTCCTCAACCTTCAGCTCCTCAGTTAAACCCTCTCCTTTCAGTGAACTAAAAAACCCAACAACTTTCTGCCTGAAAGCACTTTATGGATTATCACCAATTCTGTTAAAAAAAGCAGTGATTTGCAAAGTTTTTCTGCTACAACTGCACCAGTCTCAGACTTTATCAAGCCTGGCAGTGCAGCTACTTTTCCCCACTCTATAAGTTGCACAGAAAATAAATTCTCTTCAGTTTGTGTGGCTGAAATGATTTTTAGGTGGTGCTTAATAGGAATTGGAATACCTTAGAGCCACTATATATATATCTCTCTCTTTAAAATCACACTGGAAATTCTTACAGAACCCCCCCCATTCACCCTGTTTTAACGTGAAGAAAAGCGAAATACTAAAATGGCAATACTTTATCGTTTTTAAGTTCATAAGCTGGGCTTGCACCTCATTTTCTGCTCCTCAAGTGTCCATTTTGTACCTCTGATGCTCTGTGTGTTTAGTTTGGAGTTGGCCCATCGCTGTTGAGGATTGTCTGTAGTAGCTTTTAATCACCTCATGTGTCCTAAGAAACTCAGCTGGCACTTATTAATGGGAAAAATATGTGGGAGAAATGAGTTTAACTGGAATGATGTCACCATTTCTCCTGTTCTAAGGAGCCAGGAGAGCCCTGGAGACAGGAAACCATCTCCCCTCAGCTGAGTTTGTTCTTTGTGATGATCCCAAATCTCCATTTGATGTCCCTGGATGATGTTGTTTGAGTCTGATGTTCTAGAAAAGCCAGGAAAATCCCTGTATTCCAGGTGTCCACGTGCTGTTTTGTCACACAGAATTATCCACATGTTGTAGCATAAAGAATTTCTGTAAATTAAATAACATTACATAAATTCAAGACTATATTAAGTGTAGCCTTAAGAAGCACTGTTTATATGATAAAATAGCATTTGTAAGTTAAGAGTAATATTTGTTTGGCCAGAAAGCCTTTAAATCATATTTAATCTTCCTGCAGTTTCCCCAGATTATTTAAGTTTAATGAAATAATGTTTTTAATAATGTTGAAAAATAATCACCAGCACTTTTGTTGAGCTCTGACAAAGGGAAGGACAATTACTTGTTGTTTCTTGCAGTGGTCTCTTCCTGTTCTTAGAGCAAATATTAGTGGCAATAAGTTCATGTGATCAATTATTAGTGGCATTAATTGGGGTTATTCAACCATCTAATGAGCAGTGAAGGCAAGGGGGGGTCAGGGGGTGCTTTGACACCCCTTAGAGCACAATCCAGGGGCTCCTTTTCCCTCCACTGAAGACAACATGGCTTTTGCAATTAATTTAATAGACAATATAGTGCTGTGGAGGCGTTTTCCAGGTATGTCACTCAAACTTCCCAGTAATTAACAGCAGCAAAGTTTTCCAAGTTGGAACTTGAGCAGGAATGTTGGAGAGACTCTGCTGTTCAACAGAAAATTCACCTGACAACTTGGATTTCTGTCTGAGATTAAAAAAACCCATGATACAGACATGTCATAATAAAACAAGCACATCCTTTGGTTTGGAAATTACAGTGGGAAGGGGCAAATATTCCTTATGGATCACTTTGTTATGCCAAGACTGTTCCCAGTGTAATGCACGAGAAGCTGTTCTCTGTAGAACCATCTGAAACTGCAGTTCTTGAATAAAGTTATTTATTATTTATGGGGCTGCTTTGGTTTATTCTCCACCACAGAGGGACTTGTGCATTATTTAGTTTGGGCTCTGAAATATTCTGGTGTGACACCACCAGGGAAAGCTGGGCTATGGAAGGAGTCCCTGCCATGGCAGGGGGTGGAATGGGATGGGCCCAAACCACTCCGAGGTTCTATGGAAACCCCTCCGTTTCCAGAGGAAAATGTGAATTTTCCACAAAAAGTTTGAGAGAAGGAAACTGCTGGAAGTGGGACTCGAGTATGGAGAGGGCTGGGCCGTTCCCAACTTCAGAGCTGCTCCTGGAGCCTTCCCCGGGATGAAAAACTTCCTGGTTTATCCAACAGCGGGGAATTTTTTTATATTGATAACATATTTAACGTTTCAGAGCGCGTTCCAGACGGGTCCCTGTGCCGCACACACCTTCCTGCACATCGCGGGATCGCCTTCCCCTTGTCCCTGCGCTTCTGACGCCCTTAGGGCCGAGAGCCCTTGTTTCTAACCGCTAATTGTTAACAGTTGTTTCTGATTAGTAATTAGAAACAACTCCAGCTGAAGCTAATGACTGACAATCCCTAAACTCCAGCTGCCCGCCCGTGGATGGTGCCCCCTCACTTCATCCCAGGCTCCGTCCCGGTCCCCGTTTTACGGCGCACGTGGAGAACTCCCCGTGTGCGCACCGGGAATGCCCCGCGCGGGGCCGGGGGCGCTCCCCGGAGGGATCGGGGTCGGGAGGAGCGTCCCCCATTCCCGGTTCCCCCGGTCCGTCCTGGAGAATCCGGCCCGGAGCCGCCGGTCCCGGCCCGGGCGGCGCCTGCGCGGGGCCCCGGAAGGGGCGGGAGTGACCCGGGATTGGAGCCGGGATTGGGGCTGGGACAGGAGCCGGGCTGGAGCTGAGCTCGGGGCCATGCTGAGGGTGTTGAGAGCCGGGCTGGCCCCGGGCCGCCCGCGGCACCTCCAGGTACCGCCCGAGGGGCCCCTCAGGAGGCGGCGGCCCCGCTGTGAGGGGCGGGAGGGGAAGGGGCCGGGCCGGGCCCGCCCGAACCCCCCGGCGGCTGCAGGACACGCGTGACCCGCCCCGTGGGATCGGGCACGGGGATGGGGGACACGGGAGAGCGGGAATGTCAGCGGGGTGGGGATGTGGGGATGGCGAGGAGGGGCCGCGCGGTGCGTCCGGGCTGGGGACAGTCCCGGGTGAGCTGGAAAGGCCATTGGGCCTTAAGTGACCGGTTTGACACAGAGCAGAGGCCGTAGGGAAGCGGTTTGGAAGTTTATCCATCGGCACAGCGAGTCACAGGAGCAGTTAGGGTGGGAAAAGACCTCCAGGATCTCCGAGCCCACCCTGTGCCCGATGCCCACCTTGTCCCCAGCCCAGAGCACTGAGTGCCACGGCCAGGCCTTCCCTGGACACCTCCAGGGCTGGGCACTCCAAACCTCCCTGGGCAGCCCCTGCCAGTGCCTGACCACCCTTTCCAGGGAGAAATTCCTCCTGATGTCCAACCTGACCCTCCCCTAGCACAGCCTGAGGCTTTTCCCTCTTGTCCTGTCACTCGCTGCTGTGTTGGGTCAGCTCCTCACCAACTCATGACCTCCTCTTGCCCTCCAGCTGCTCCTGACCTCCTGCAGACACTGTTCCTCGGGGGTCCTTCCCAACGAGAGGATCCGCAACATCGGGATCTCGGCCCACATCGACTCTGGGAAGACGACGCTGACGGAGCGAATCCTGTTCTACACGGGCAGGATCGCGCAGATGCACGAGGTGGGGCTGCTCCAGGGGGAGCCCTGAAACCCTCCTGCTTCCCCTGATAACCCTTTAAAAATTAGTGGAGGGCAAGGGGATTGAATCCCAGAATCACTGAGGTTGAAAAAGCCCTCCAAGGTCATCGAATCCACCCCATGCCCCATCTCCACCTTGTCCCCCGGCCCAGAGCACTGAGTGCCACGTCCGGTCCTTCCTTGGGCACCTCCAGGCATGGGACGTGTGTTCTTAGTAAAGTCCTGGGACTACATTTTTTTTTAATTTCTTCTTTCCTAAGGTGAAAGGTAAGGATGGAGTTGGAGCTGTGATGGATTCCATGGAGCTGGAGCGACAGCGGGGCATCACCATCCAGTCTGCGGCCACTTACACCATGTGGAGAGACACCAACATCAACATCATTGACACCCCAGGTGAGGGAGCTGGGAACACCTGGGGGTTGCTGTTCCTCATGGATACAGAGGACATGGTGCATCTTTGTGTTGTGACAGGACAATGTGGCGTGGATTCAAACTGACAGAGGGGGAATTTAGGTGAGATTTAATTCAGGAAGGAAGAAATCCATCCCTGGGAGGGTGGGGAGGCCCTGGCACAGGTTGCCTAGAGAAGCTGTGGCTACCCCATCCCTGGAAGTGTCCAAGGCCAGGTTGGACGGGGCTTGGAGCAACCTGGGCTAGTGGAAGGTGTCCCTGCCCATGGCAGGGGGTGGGATTGGATGAGCTTTAATCTCCTTCCCACCCAAACCATTCCATGGTTCCATGATCAGCCACTCAAGCTGGTGTGACTCTGTGGCTGGAGGGTTTGGCTCTGTTGGCTGTTGCTCCTTTCTGCACTCATTTGTCATGATTAATGAGTTTTATTGTCCTTCAGGACACGTGGACTTCACCATTGAAGTGGAGAGGTCTCTGAGAGTCCTGGATGGAGCAATCCTGGTGCTCTGTGCTGTTGGAGGAGTCCAGTGCCAGACCATCACTGTGAACAGGCAGATGAAGAGGTACAACGTGCCCTTCCTGACCTTCATCAACAAACTGGACAGGATGGGCTCCAACCCAGCCAGGGCCGTGCAGCAACTCAGGTATTTACCAGTTAAAATGACTTGGGAAATAATTCTGAATACTCCCATGGCAGGGGAAGAATGTTGGAGAGGCTTCTCTTTGTACCTGCAGTTTGGGGAATGCCTGACTCAGATTAAGATCTGACCCATAAGTCTCCAAAATCCCCAAATATTTTGGTCAGCCAAGACTTGCAGGGACCAAGAGCTGGGGTTTGATATTTATTTTGTTGATGGAATTATATGTGGAGCCACCTGGAAAGCAGCCTTTTGGTTTTCCCTAGATCCTGGTAGCACGTGTGCCGCTGGAATTCCAGCAGGGAGGTGATGGGGTGGTTTGGATGCCTGGAATCCTCCTTGCTCCTAATTTGATCTGTGAGATAACTCATTAATATGCATGAAGCCTTCTCCCCTAATCAAATAATCAATCTCAAACCAGTCTCCTCTGCCTTCTTTCCCAGGGGAGTTGCTCCCTGCTCCTGTTGGGATACAGAGGGTTGAGCCACCCTGGAAAACACCTGGGTGGTTTTTATCAGCACTGACAGATTTTTGGCACTGCCCAAAGGATGAAATCCAGGGATTTTGTGGGAGGTTGTTTAAAGACAATCTGGAGGAGACCCATAAAAACAACGCTTTTCTTGAACTAATTTCTGTTTTCTCCCTCTTTCAGGTCCAAGTTGAAACACAATGCAGCTTTTGTCCAGATTCCAATTGGGCTGGAGGGAGACTTTAAAGGAATTATAGATCTTATTGAAGAAAAAGCCATTTATTTTGATGGGGCACTTGGGTGAGTTGTGGAACTTGCTCCTTTCTTGGCTGGAGCTGCTCTTTACACGAGGAGTTCCTCCTGCAGAGGTGAAACCCTGCTCTCTGGGAATATCAGGGTGGGGCTTGTGCCAGGGCTGAGCTCAGCCTCTGGCATTCCCATCCCCTGGCCCTGCAGGTGAGCTCTGGGATGGGTGGCTGCAGGAGGAGCTGGGTGGTGGGAAGGGGTGGTGGCCACACTTCCCACCCTGAGAAACAGGGAGACTTGCTCCATAACGGGATCTGACAGTGCACATGTGGCTTCTGGGATGAAGATGAGATGTGGGTGGGGCTGTCGGACAGGTTGTCCTGCATCCTTCAAACTCCTGCCAGGAGTGGGGAGGAACCTTCTCCTGCCAAAGCGCCAAAGCTGATCCTCGTAGGGGATTTTTCCCATTATCCATGTCAGCAGCGAGTTTTCCTTGGTCGGGCTGGTCATGGCAGTGATGGAAGGTGATGGATCCACGTGGTCCATGCCCTGTGGGTGATGGTTTGTCCCCGTGTGTGCAGGCAGACCCTCCGTGTTGAGGAGGTCCCGGCCGAGCTGCGGGCGGAGGCGGCCGAGCGGCGCCGGGAGCTCGTCGAGTGCGTCGCCAACGCCGACGATCAGCTCGGGGAGATGTTCTTGGAAGAGAAGATTCCCACGGCTGCTGAGTTAAAGGTACCTCCAGAGGGGTGCAGCTCCTTGCTCCAGGAGTGGAGATGCCCAGGGAAGCCAGGGAATCTCAGGCTCCTGAGGGTGCAGGAGGAGAGTTACCAGGGCTGTTTTCCAGCTTGCCATCAGGAGAGCGACGCTGAACAAGTCCTTTACCCCAGTCCTTGTGGGAAGTGCTTTGAAGAACAAAGGGGTGCAGCCACTGCTGGATGCTGTCCTGGAATACCTTCCCAATCCCTCTGAGGTGGAGAACTATGCTATTCTGAACCAGGGGTAAGGACAGCCAGGAGCAAACAAGAGTGTCCAAGGCCAGGCTGGACGGGGCTTGGAGCAACCTGGGCTAGTGGAAGGTGTCCCTGCCCATGGCAGGGGATGGGACTAGGAGGCCTTCAAGGTCCTTTCCAACCCAAACCATTTCATGATCCTATGGAATAGTTTCAAAGCTGTTTAATACATAGCAGGAAACATCAGTAACAAGATCCAGGATCATTTACCATTTGTATTAAATAATAGCACCAGAATTTGGCACAAACTCCCAAAACTAAGAGAGCTCCTTTCATCTGAGGGTTACCCTTTATACTGGTGTTATTAACACATTAAATGTTAAATATGGAAAATGATTATGAGGTAGTTCATCAGAAATGATGGCAGCCCTTCAAGCCTTCAGCCCCCTTCAGTGCCTGACCACCCTTTCTAGGAAGAAATTCCTCCTCATGTCCAACCTGACCCTCCCCTGGCACAACTTGAGGCTGTTCCCTCTTGTCCTGTCCCTTGTTCCCTGGGAGAGAAGTCCAACAATTAGGTGTGAACCCCAACATTAAAGCCAGTAAAGAGCCAGCAGATGCTTAGAGGAGGCTCCTGTGTTGCCTCATAACCTCACCTCCCTCTCCAACCCTGTTTTTAAGGGATTCTGAGGATGGATCCAAGTTCCTGTTGAACTCTGCTCGTGATGATTCCCAACCTTTCATCGGCCTTGCCTTCAAACTGGAGGTGAGTCCACTGAGTTCTTTCTAACGACTCACAGAGTGAATCCAAACAGATGGGGCTGCCAAAGTTGTGTAGAGCAAGCTTTAAAATCAGTTTATATTTAAATTCAGTTTAAACTTAACCTTTAAAAAACTGGTTCCCACCATAAAATCCACCAGCGTGTCCAACACTTGCCAATTTGGAAGTTTAGAATGGGGTCATGTCCCTCAGGTATTTCATGGTTTTCTTAGTTAAAACTTAAACATTTGGGGAGGTTATGGGTTATTTCAGATACTTTCAGAGAAAAATCCTGGATTTGAAAACAATGAAACAGGAGAGGTTTGGAGAGGATAAAGTGCACAGTTTTAAGGAAACAATTTGTTTCTGCCTAAAGAGCAGCACTTGAGATTTCATGTTGCATGTCAATGTGTGTCTCTGTTGGGAAGGTTTGGGAGGGATAATATGAGTTCAGAAAATTGCCAGGAAATGCCAAATTCCATCCCAGAGCCAAGGGAAAGCTGAGACTCTTAGAAACGTTTCAGTTACATTTCTAGTGTGGAAATTCAAACCAGAAACATTCAGTCAGTGCAGGTGATGCTTTTCAGTAACAGTGCTCTTGGTTCCCAGAAGGATCATATGTGATTTTTTTTCCCTGGATTTTGCTTCCAGGCTGGTAAATTTGGGCAGTTAACCTACATCAGAGTTTACCAGGGGAGGCTGAAGAAGTCTGATTACATCTACAACACCAGGACTGGGAAGAGGGTGCGAGTGCAGAGGCTCGTCCGGATGCACTCGGACAACATGGAGGTGAGTGATCCCTAGGGATGGACTCTGAGCCACTGTCTGGCATTCCTGCAGTGGGCCAGGACTGCCTGGAACACAGCACATTGTTTGCTTCACATCCCTAAACTAGAACAAGTTAGCATCCAAGCCGAGCTCTCCTTTTTGTCCTTGGAATAAAGAGGTGGAAGATTTACAGAGCATTTTATCCCAGCTGGAATTTTAGAGGAGCTCAATGTCAAGCTTTAAAACACAGAATATGTTTATGTGTCTTCTGTAAACCAGGTGTAGTTTGTAGGTTATAGAATCAGAGGAGAAATCCCAGAATGGTTTGGGTTGGAAGGATCTTAAAGCCCACCCAGTGCCACCCCCTGCCATGTGCAGGGACACCTTCCATGATCCCAGATTGCTCCAGGCCCTGTCCAGCCTGGCCTTGGACACTCTCAGGGATGGGGCAGCCACAGCCTCTCTTATCTTTCAGTGTTATCTAAACAGGAAACTTTTCTTTCCCCAGGATGTCAGTGAAGTTTATGCTGGAGACATCTGTGCCCTGTTTGGGATTGACTGTGCCAGCGGGGACACCTTCACTGATAAAACCAGCACTGCCATCTCCATGGTGAGTTCCCCTTTCCCTGAGGGCCTCAGGCACTGGCATTTACCAGGATTTTGCTGGGGAAGTTTGTAATCATCACCTCTTCCTTGGTGGCCACTGCAGGAATCCATCCACGTCCCCGATCCCGTCATCTCCGTGGCCATGAAGCCTTCCAACAAGGTAGGAGCCTGGGGATCCACATCTCCCCCTGGCTTCCCCTCCCTTTGCTGCTTTTTAGGATTTTATGCAGCTTAAATAAGGAACAGGCTAAAACAAGCACTGTTTGAAAGTGTTTTATCCACAATCCCTAAGATTATATCTCTGGATAACCCAGCACGTGGCTGGGCTGGATGGTGTCACTCAGCCATAAATAAGGTGCATTTCTTTGACCTGAACTTGAAATTAAATCACAATTAATACATTAATAAACACAGTTAGAAGTGTTTCAGAAAATCACCTCAGAGAGCAGAAGTGCTCAGCTGTTGATAGGAAAAGTCGAGGCCTTTTTCGTGGATAATTTCTGGAATTTGAGCAAATCTTGTGTGTTTAATTGCATTTCAGAACGACTTTGACAAGTTTTCCAAAGGCCTGAACCGCTTCACGAGGGAAGATCCCACTTTTAGAGTCCACTTTGATGATGAGAGCAAGGAGACCATCGTTTCTGGGATGGGGGAGCTGCACCTGGAAATCTATGCCCAGGTAATTGGGAAAGCAGATTCCATGGACTCTGCTTTTCACTGGTTTTCCAGCCACGAATTCTCCTTCCTTTTCCCCCTCCTCTTTCTTCTTTCCAGCTGCTTTGGGAAGAGTTTAACTGTAAATCAACCTCTGCAGGTTCTTTCTCTCCAGTGGTTCCATTTTAAAGGAAACTTCTGCCTGGAATATTTTCACTTCTTCAGTTCAAATCCATAAAAATGGATTAAACACTACACTTTGCTTTAGCAGCCTTTGCTTATAATGAACTAATAATTAATAATAATTAATTACTACAGAAAAATACTGTGTTTCTGTGGTTTTAAATGTATCCTTCCATATAAAAGCTGATGCAGGGAGAAGGGAATACCTACTTACAGTGATTAGTCTCATTCCAGTTGATGCCTGTATTTTAATTAACACAAGAGATGTGTCTGAAATGTTGACAGAATGAAGAAAAGATGCTTTTTTCTTGAAAAACTTAAACTTTAATAGAAAAATTAATGCTGTTCCCTTTCCCTGTGTAGATCTTAAGCAAAGTTGGATGCAGAATGACAGTGAACAATTTATAACATTAAAAAAAAAAAAAAACAACAACAAAAAGCCCCCCAAAATCAGTGAAAAACCCCTGGTTAACCCTGATTAAATTAATACAATAATTTCCAAAGAATTGCTCTAATGGAACAACTCTGGGTTTTTTTCCTGCAGCGAATGGAGAGGGAATATGGTTGTCCTTGCACCACAGGGAAGCCCAAAGTTGCCTTCAGGGAGAACATCTCTGCACCTGTGCCGTGAGTATTCCCTCTGGGAATTGTTTTAGTCATTTCTTTGGATGCAGCATTTGATTAAGCAGCAGGGAAGAAAAGATCAGATCAAATCCCAAGGCACAGGAAAAGTTTAATTTAATGTCTTTGTACCCTGATTGCTTCCCCACCCCTTCCCCTCCTCTGCCCTCCCTCCAAATGCCTGCTGGAGCTCTGGAGCTGCTTCCAGGTGGGATCAGGGGGTCCCTTATCCCGAGGTGTGTCCGGGCTGGCGGCTCTCCCGTGTCACTCTGACACCATCCCGAGGGTGCCACAGCACTGTCATCTCCCAGGGAATGATCTCCTGTGGGAGTGACAGCAGGGAACAAACTGGGCTTCCGTTCTCTTGGTTAGTCAGGAATTTCTCCTCGTGGAAAACTCAGGAACCAAACCCACGTAGGTGCCCCGAGTGAACTTGGCTGGAATTTAACGCTGACCTTGGTTTAAATTTGAATTTAAAGCTGACCTTGGCTTAAATTTAAAGCTGAACATCACCTTAGGAGTTACTCTTAACTCACAGTATATCTTCTCCAAACACACAGAAAAACTGGGAGAATCCATAGAATTCTGTTAATTTAAAACTTGAGAGTGCAGGGGTTGGAAGCAGCGGAGCTGGAGCTGGGAGGGAGATCCCTGGGTGGGTTTTCCAGGAGGTTGCACAATCAGGAACTTCTCTCTCACATTTTCTGTGTTTTCCTTATGAAAACACTTGCTCAGATCACAGAATTATGATGGGGAATGGCTCCAAGTGTGAATACTCTGCTAGGAACCAGTCTGTGCTGGGATAACTGGGATGGGTGAGGTCTCTGCTGGGCACCAGTGCTGTCCTCTGGCATGGGAGCATTTCCACCCCCCTGGAATTCTGCTGAGCACTCCAGGATGCCACTTCTTCCCTTGATCCCCAGCCAGTTTGGCACTGGGATCTCCCAGGAGGAAAGAGCTGTGAAGCCACCAGTGTTTTGAACCTCAGCCATTCCCAAGAAAGCCCAGAAACAGCTAGAAATTGTTGCTGTTGTGTCCTGGAATGCTGGGATGGACAGAGAAGGTGGCCCTGACCTCACCCTCACCCTCTGTGTCCACCCCACCGTCTGTGTGCCTGAGCTGGAGGCTGCAGAGCTGCCAGGCTTCAAACAACAACAAAAAAGGCTTTTAAGAAATCCAGTATTTACCTGGGACACCATTTCGTGCAGTAGAACCAGGTAGTCAAACTGCAGATATTCATCACTTCTCCTCTGGAAAGACAAGGTGAAAAGGGCTGAATTTGGGGCTTCTCCCCACCTACAGAGCAGTGAGTCAGTTCTCTTTGGTTATCCCAAGAATTCCCTGCTGTATTTCAGGTAAAACAGGTTATTATAACCAATAAAGCAGGTGGAGCTCAGTCACTGTGACAAAACAAAAAAGATCCTGATCTGTGTTTTTGTCACTCCAAATTTGCACTGGAGAGATGAATGTGAGGCTTAAAACTCTGCTAATGCCTCCCTTAAGGAAATCAGATAAATATCAACTTCAGGAACTCCTTTGGGATGGGAACACCTCCTTCTACAAGGTGTCAGTTTAACCCAGATAATCCCAAATCAAATTGTCAGTAGGATAAGGACACACCCCAGAGGCCTTACAGGGATTCTGAGTGACAAAATACACACTGGCCTTTGGAATATACTCTTTTCCCATGTATTTTTCAAGGAAAAGGAACAAAATTCCCCAAGAGAGGTGGCAGCTGGGTTAATTTAATAGTTTTCTGTCTGCCTTGTCCTCGAATTTGTTAAAGAGGGGTTTAAAATCTTTGAACTCTCGCTGGTGCACAGCCCTGCAGCAGCTGTGAATTGCTCCGAGATGCCATCAGAGGGAGCAAAACATTCACAAATCCTGCTCCCTGAAGCCATTTGTCTCTCCTTCATCCCCAGCACTTCCTGGGAATTCACTGGTTGTTCTGAGTGGCAAAACCATTTGGGCCTTGAGTTTTCTAAATCCTGTTTCTTTTTCCTGGCTCACATCCAAAATTGCCTCAGATTTAAGCTGACCAGCCCTTTAGAGGTTATTCTTAACTCACAATATATTTTTTTTTCCAAACAGAGCAGAGGAATTAGGGAGAATCTATAGAATTCTATTAATTTACAAATCAAACCAAAAGGACTTGGCTGTGACAGTAAGTTTTGTGAAAGCAAAGTGCTTTCTCTCACTTAAGCCTCTTCCAGGCAAGGGGCCTGTCAGGCCTGGTGGTGGCAATTAATGACTCAGTTAATGTCAGGAGCTACAGTGAGATTTGCCAGGTTTTGATTCCTGAGTTTAGGGCAGATCCAGGTGTGCTCAAGATAAACCCATCCCTTATAACCACCCAGAAATAAAACAGGAAATATCTTATCCTGGAATATTCTGTTCCCTTTCTCCCTCGTCTTCCCCTTTTGTCTTCCTCAGTTCAGGTTTCTCACCATAAACTCAGTTGATGCTCATCATGGTAAGGGAAGTCCAAGAGCTCAAATAAAAATCCCTTTTAAGTGCTGTTTGATTAGAGGGAAGGGGTAGTGGAACAAAATTCAAACACTGGACTAGATTCTTAAAACCAAACCAGAGCAGGAAGTTCAGACATAATTGAGGTTTCCTGAATGTGGATTTTTAAGAATGTGGATCCTGCTCAGCTCCTAAACACTATTTTTCTTGCAGAGCATTGAGAGCCAAGGCCAGGTTGGAATATATGTCAGGGGAAAGAAGTGGAGGAGAACACCCTGGAAGTGTCCAAGGCTAGGTTGGACGGGGCTTGGAGCAACCTGGGCTGGTGGAAGGTGTCCCTGCCCATGGCAGGGGTGGCACTGGATGGGCTTTAAGGTCCATTCCCACCCAAACCACCCTGGAATTCTCTGTCTGATGGAGACTTACCACCTGCTTCACATGTTTGATCTGGGCCAGCTGGAGCTGGGTGTTTTCCGTGGAATTCTGCCACACCAGGTACCCCGAGGCGACCCAGGCGAGCAGGTGGAGGGGCTCCAGCTCTGGGGGCACGTGGCCATGGCTGTCTGGGAAACAAAACAATTCCCGGGGGTTAAACAAGAGCCAGCAACAGAACTTCATCACCTGGTGCTAAAGTCACTCCCATCCATGTCACAAAACCTTCCACGGGATCTTGGAAGAGCTGCTCCGTCCCCGCAGTGATTCCTCCTGTGGAATCACAGCGTGGTTTGGGTTGGAAGGGACCTTAAAGTTCACCTTCCACTAGCCCAGGTTGCTCCAAGCCTCGTCCAGCCTGGCCTTGGACATTTCCAGGGTGTTCTCCTCCACTTTTTTCCCCTGACATATGAAGTTTTCAAGGCTCTGAAGTCCAAGCAGCCCCTCGTTGTGCAGTCGGGGTGTGGGATGTGCTGTGCCAAGGACAGCTCAGAGGGAGCAGGTGACAGTGGCAGGTGGTTCTGCAGAACAGCCACATGCAAATCCTGCCTCAATTCTGGATTTCAGGAATCAGAATAAATTGAGTAGCTGTGACTGAGAGACCCCCAGACAGAGAAAGGGAAGCAGCACGTGTTCAGAGCAGGGGGGAGGCCTGATCCTTCTCCCCCAGCCCCATCCTTGTACCTGGAATGTTCTCTGCCACAAGCTCTTTTTCCAGGCTCCTGATTCGAGTGTAGAACACGTGATCTGCTTCCTCTGTGCTCTTTAGTTCTCCTTCAAGTGTGAACTGCACATCTGGAGCAATGTTTTTGTTGCCCAGATGATACAGAACCTCAGCAGTGCAGTTAACAGTACTGTCCTGTCACAGAGTTAATTATGTGCATTAATATTTCATTAAGTACATGTGTAATGTGGGTAATTTGCATTTCTGACATGTCTTTTTTTTTATGGAGTTGCTGCTTTCTCTGAGTCTGGCCCAGAGAGATTTGTGATTATTTAAGACAAGGTTAAATTCACGGTTTATCTGTGAATGCATAAAGGTGATTTGCTTTCTGCAGTGATGGGAAGGGCAGTGGATGGGGTGCAGAATGTCCCTTGTGCTGTTCACTTGGAGCTGAGTGACACTGAAATGTCCTTGTCATCCCTCCAGCACTGTCTGGTGCTGGAGTGGAAGGTACCACATGGGCAGGGCTTTTATGGTGGTAAAATTTAGCCTTTTTTTACCTGATTTGCAGGATAGAAAATCAGAAACATGATTCCAAATATGATTAGTTGGTGTGTCCCCTGGATGCTGAGCCAGAGGAGCAGCATCAAATGAGTTTATGACACATCAGTGCTGCCAAGCTCTGCCCTCAGAGTGTTTAATTAAATCAACCTGAACTCACTTTGTCCAGGACATCTTCCAGCTCCAGTTCCAGGTAGTACTTGTGCCCAACATCCTTGATGTCCTGAGAAAGGGAAAACATTAAGGATGTTTATTTTGTCAAATGTTGAATGACTTTGCATAGTGGACAAGATCAGAGAATCACAGAATGGTTTGGGTTGGGAGGGAATTTAAAACTCATGCAGTCCCACCCTGCCATGGGCAGGGACACCTTCCACTAGCCCAGGTTGCTCCAACCTGGCCTGGGACACTTCCAGGGATGGGGCAGCCACAGCTTCTTTGGGCAACCTGTGCCAGGGCCTCTCCACCCTCATTTCTAGCCCTGAATTAACATTTTGGGGCTCCCCATGTGATTCCATCCAGCAATGTGCTGCTGGTGGGAGTGCTCAGTGATTCCTCCAATGAAGTCCCTTTTGCAGTTCATTATGAATCATGTCATGGAGTTTTTTGGCTGTAATGACTGAAGGGAGTGGGGGGGTTGCTGTGCCCCTGTTTTGGGGTTTTGTGCCCTGTTCTCACAGGTGGGGTTTGCTGTGCCCTGTTCTCATGGGTTTGTTTCCCTGTAACCCAGCCTGGGTGAGCAGCGAGGTGTGTCCTGGCAGCCGCAGTCCGAGCACCCTCCTCCCTCCTGAGCGTCCTTGGCAGGTTCCCCGGGCCCGATGCCATCGTGGGAACAGCACGGGGTGTATTCCACCTTCCCAGCCTGCCCGACTGCTCCCAGCCCCCGGGCTGTTCGGGACACACAGGTCCTTCCGTGCCCCCCAAACGTGGGTGGGCAGAGCCGCGGTGACACAGAATCCCAGGACAGCGGGGGTTGGAGGGCACCTCGGGGGATCGCCCAGGCAGGGGCACCTGGAGCGGGTGGCACAGGGACGCTCCGGGTGGGATTGGGGTGTCTCCAGAGAGGAGACTCCACACCCTCCCTGGGCAGCTGTCCCCGAGCTCCGGGGCCCCGCTGGAGGGCAGTTCCCGGGGGTTTAGTTGCCGCCCCTCGCTGCCGGTGCCGCTCTCACCTCGGTGCGCGCCCGGCGCAGCTCCCGCAGCCGCAGCGCCCGCCCGGGGCCGCCCCGCCGGTACCGCAGGAACGCCACGGCCACGGCGGCGGCCCGGCGGGAGGGGAACTGTGCCGGGGGCAGCTCCATGGCCACGCAGCTTCCTCCGCCCGCAGGAAGGCACCGGCACGGGGAGGGACCGCGGGCGGCGGGTCCCGCCCCGGGGAGCGGGCGGGGACGGCGCTGATGCTGCCGAGAGGGCGCGGGTCCCTCCGGCCGGGGGGAGTGAAGGTTTTAACTGCGAACGGGGTTAGGTGGGATAGTGGGGAGAAATCCTTCCCTGTGAGGAACAGGCACAGGTTGCCCAGAGAAGCTGTGGCTGCCCCATCCCTGGAAGCGTCCCAGGCCAAGTTGGAGCAACCTGGGCTAGTGGAAGGTGTCCCTGCCCGTGGAAGGTGTCCCTGCCCATGGCAGGGGTGGACTCCATAACCTTTACATTCCCTTCCAACCCAGAGTAGTCTGGGATTCTATGAACTGCAGAATGGGAATTTTTTCCCTGGGGTTGCAGCAGGTTCATGTGTTTGGGGTGTTGTTTGTTTTCAGGTTTGAATTCACCCACAAGAAGCAGACAGGAGGAGCGGGCCAGTATGGCAAAGTGATCGGGGTGCTGGAGCCCCTGGATCCTGAGGACTACACCAAAGTAGAGTTTGAAGACAGAACCGTTGGCACAAATATTCCCAAACAATTCGTGCCCGCTGTGGAAAAGGTACAAACCATCTGTGTGCTACAGTAAATACTGATTTCTGTGTTTTCTTGCCATATCACCCACATTTACTGTGCTGGCCTTGCCACAGGCAAGGGGGCTCTTCCCGTTTCTTCAGTGGAAACAGAATCATTTGTGTGGTTTTACTTCATATCTCACATTCCTGGGTTTTCCACTGTCTTTAGAAGCTGCTCTGTTTGCTTTGGTGGTGTGTGCTGGCTCTGTTTCCCTGGCAGTGCCTCCTTTCCTTGCTCACAGTCCAACAAGCCTCCTGCTCAGTCTGCTTCTTACTGGCCCTTCTGCTTTTGGTTGTGGCCCCACAATTCTCATCTCTAACCCCAAAATATGGAACTTTTTCTGTGACTTCTCTGAGGCCAATTATGTAGGAAGCTGCAATTAAACTGCATTTCCTGCCTGAATTCCCAATTCATCTCTGAATTCCTTTTTCATCTCTGTGACTGTCTCTCTGTCAGATTTATCACAGACTATTTTAATTAGCCTGCCATCATCTTGGAATTCCTATGATAACCCAGAATAATTCCTTCGTTATTCTATGATGCAACACTTGAAGACTTTTGCAAAATCCTGAAAAAAACATGCAGTCTTAAAGGAATCCTGTTCTCCAGGCAGGAGCTCTTTCCACACAGAGCATTCTTTGGGGTTTTGGCCATACAGTCCCTTACAGAGCCAAATCCTGAGGGCAGTTTTCCTTGTTCCTTGGTTTTTAGTTTTAAAAAGTATCAGTGTCCAACTGAGGTGCCAAAGACTGACAGCACAGAGGTTCCAGATTCCTGGTGCTGACTCGGGCTGTTGTTCCAGGGATTCCGAGATGCCTGTGAGAAGGGTCTGGTGTCCGGGCACAAGATCTCCGGGATCAGGTTCGTCCTGGAGGATGGTGCCCATCACATGGTGGACTCCAACGAGATCTCCTTCATCAGGGCAGGAGAAGGAGCCCTAAAACAAGGTAGGAGCTCCTTGCTTGGGTGTGTCCTGGCTGTTATTGCTGGGGCTGAATTTAACAGCCTCATTTCTGTAGGTTCATTTGTTATTTGGGGTATCCATCCATCCACCCACCCACCCATCCATCCAAAGTCTGGCCACTTGTGTAGAGCACAGTGTAAGAGTTTGTAGAATTTCTGAGGGGGGCACAACAGTTCTTGTGGTTCTGTGAAGGAGATCCTGTTTTCCTGGAATACAGTACAGAAACATCAGCAGCACCATCCTTACAGGGTAGGAAGAGAACATTTGGTCAAACTGTGCCTTTTTTAGGAAAAATGTCTTCACTGGAGGAGTGGTGAAGCACTGGGACAGGGAATTGGTGGAGTCACAATCCCTGGAATTGCCCCTGGATGTGGCACTTCACAACATGGTTTAGGGTCAGAGGTTGGATTTGATGACTTTGCAGGTCTTTTCCAACCTTAATGACTCTGTGATTATGGTGTCAGGAATAACAAGCCGGGGAGCTGGAATTCCATGGAGCTGCTTGTTTTCCCTCGCTGTCATAGGAAACCCTTGGCATTACCATGAACCATTTGTTGCTGTGCATGGGAGTATCTGAACTTCCCCCAGGCTTGTGGTGCTGGATTGTTTCTCCCGCTGTTTTTCCCAGCCATGGAAAACGCCACGGTGCGAATCATCGAGCCCATCATGGCCGTGGAGGTGATGGCTCCCACGGAATTCCAGGGAGCTGTGATAGCTGGGATCAACCGGCGCCACGGGGTCATCACGGGGCAGGACGGGGCAGAGGGCTACTTCACCCTCTATGCTGAGGTTTGTGCTCTTCCCGGCTTTTCCTTTCCTCCTGTTGCCTTTTGACTCCATCACTGTTTTCCTTAGTTTGTGTGGATAAACTTGGAGCCAGGTTGACTCATTTTCCGTGTTCCCTTTCTTATGTCCCTTCTAAAAACGTGTGTTTTCCTGTTGGGTGGTGGGAGGGAAAATCATCTCGGCAAGGCTTTGGCTTTGGGCTGCCCTGCATCCCTTCTGCTTCCAAAACTGAGGAATTTAATCAGAGCTCCAGTCTGGAGTTACCTCAAACCTTGTGATCTCTGGATGACACAGCCCTGAATCCAGGATGCTCCAGTTCCTGGTGCATTCAGACTCTCAGATTTTTGAAGTTTCCTGCTGAAAACACGTTGCAAGTATAAATCAGTTAAAATAACAGGTGCTTTACAACACCAGATCATTCAATCCGAGCTTTTTACAGGCAGCACTGACTCTTTGTGTCAGAATTGGGATCAATTAGGTGGTGACTCAAAGTTGATGGAAAAAGTGTTTTGTTTTTACAAGCCTGTGTTGGGATTTCAGGTGCCACTGAACGATATGTTTGGATATGCCACCGAGCTGAGGTCCTGCACAGAGGTGAGTCCTCCATGTCCTCTTTGCTTAAACGTGTTTATTTCTGTAAATTTGGGCTACTTTGCATCATTGCATCCATAGCAACTGCAGCAGGGAAGGAGATAAAACCCAAACCCAGAGCTGGGTCCTTCCTGCTCAAAAAGTTCTTCCATGCTTTGGATTTTGTTTGTGTGGGATTGTGAAGGATTCTTGGATGTTGTTTCACAGACAAGGGAGTGACCTGCTGTTCAGCACAGTTACACATGTACCATCTTCACCTGGATGTTCTTTTCCCAATTTTACAGGGAAAGGGGGAATATACCATGGAATACTCCAGATACCACCCGTGTTCACCCAGCACTCAGGAAGAAATAATCAACAAATACCTGGAAGCAACGGGGCGACTTCCTGCCAAAAAGGGCAAAGCCAAGAGCTGATCTGACTCCTCCGGAGTCCTTTGAACAGTTTTTCCCAATCTCCTCCAGCAGCTCAGTTTTCCAAGCCGTGGAAGCAGAGAAGGCTGGCTGGGGAAGGCAGGCTGGCAGTGGGATTTGGACTTGGAATTTTGTCATCATACCCTTCCTCTGTGGAATTCTCAGGAGCCACCAGAGGATCACAGCGGAATCGTTCACGTGTAAATGCTGTCCTTAACAAAATAGATGTTAAAACACGGCTGATAATTGGTCTTGAAATTCGTCTTAATTAAGTTCTATTAAAATAATTGTATTTTTTACTTGATACATCATTATTGTGTAATTAGGTTTGGGAAGTTTGAAAATGTTGAGGCAGGAGAGTCAGGTAGGAGCTGCTGGACAGGCACGGGGAGTGAGTTGTCAGCCCACACAGAGCACTTCTCACAGGGTGCTCCCAGCTTCCCTCCAGGGAAAAATGCCACTTTTCCCTCCAAATCCTCCAGAAGTGGCACAGGATCCTTCAAAGTCTCCACCCACTGGGCAAAGCCATCGCTCAGTGCCACTGCCCTGGCACCGAATCTGCTTTTCACTGGTGGCACAACAGAGTTGAGAAGGGTGTTGGTGGGAGTTAACTCTTCCCAAAGCTGGGAGCAACCTGGAATTCCTCTGTGGGCTTGTGATGTGGATTCATTGTGTGGGCTTGACTTTGGCTCTCTGTTAGAAAACCAAACCAGAGCTTTCTCTTCCCAGAATCTCCCAATCCCGAGGGCGTGTCCAGCCGATGCTCAGCGCAGGAATCAGTTGACTGAAATCTTACTGACTCATTGCAGAGACAAAACAAGGATCCTGGAGTTCCATGGGAAGGAGAAGATATTCCCATAATTCTGTATTTTTAATGACTCCCAGAAGGTCCATGTTGAAGTGTCTCTCTCCCTTCCTGACCTCCTGAGCTTAACAGACTTCCAGTAAACGGGGGATGAAGTTCCAGTTCAAACCCAGCGACATTCCTGGCACAGGATGATTCCCAGACACAGTCAGGAGTGCAGCAGCCAGGCTTCTCCACAGCCCTCACGGGAAGACAGGGAAAAGGAGTTATTTTGACCTTGGGAACAGATTTGTGAGCACGTGGAGGTGCTAACAGGGCTCAGGCGTGGGGTGGTGTATCCACGGGCTGTATCCATGTGGTGTATCCCTGTGTATTGCTTTGGGACAAATCCCCGATTCCCCCCCATCCACAGCTTTGTTGTTGTCAACTGCTCAGCTGGAATTGATTTCCAGAAAAGTCCTGCAGGTCCTCAGACATTGGGAGATTTTCTTGAACAACCTTTTACCAAAATTCAGGGTTGTCTTATGAAAGCAGTGTGGAAACAGGAAAGGAATGGGGTGGTTGGGATTTTATTTATGGTTATGGTTTTCCTGCTCTGCTCAGGCCACTGTGATGTGAATTCCTGGCTTGTGGGTGCTGCCAGATGTGCTGGTGCTCCACAGATCTGGAAAAAACCAAAACCCCAAGAATTTTGCTGTGTGATTTTAGGTTTTAGGCTGAAATCTTGGCCTAAAAGCAGCTGCCTTAGAATTCCAACAGCTTTGCTGCTTCTCCAGAAGTTCCTGTGGAGTAGTTGGGAGTTACACTGACCTGGTGACTTGGAAGTGCCCAATCCTCTGGTCTGAGTGTGGAGAGCAGTGGCAAAAACAAGGTAAGGACACTAAAGTAGAGCCCCAAAGTGCAAAATCCATCCCATTTTCTTGTTTATGTTTCAAAAACTATTTTAATCACCAGCTTCTTTAAGCAATGTTGAAATTCTCAGCTCTGATTTCATACTTTTGATGAGGAGAAATGTTCTACCAGCACAGAAGAAAACACCAGGAGGACATGGGATGTCGTTCCCCGAATTTATTGTGGTGCCTGGTGTGTGCTGAGAGAAAAAGCTTCAGTCAGGAAATCAGGTTTAACAATCTGTGTGTGTAAAACACTGGAATTTGGGGGGTTGACATCACCCTGCTTAAATACAAGCAGGGAAAACCGTCATGTGAAATCCTGGAATCATTGTTACTGATTACAGATCCAGGATAATGAAAACCACCACAAACTCCAGAGAACAGCCACCCCAGCACCTGTTTCCCTCAGGAATGGGGTGTTCTTGGTAAGGATTTAGTCTGTCCTGGCAGAAATCTGGCAAATGGGGAGAAAAAAAGTGAATTTGAGACAGTTTGGCACAACCTCAGAGAGCAGAGGTGGGATGGTGGTGGATCTTCTGGGAACCCAACTGGAGGATTTGGAGGCAAAGGACAAACCCACAACTTTGTGGTGTTCAGGATGGGAACAGGACAGGGCAGGAACCAAGAAGAGCTGTTTGAGGGGTGTCCTGCCCATCTCAAATGTGGGAATTCATCCATCTGGAGCCTTCCTGGCTCTGCAGGTCTGTTTTGGTTTAGAGTTTACAGAGAAGGTGGAAATTTGGGGTCCAAGAGCAGCAGAGTGAAAGAAAACCCAGCCTCGCCCCTGAGTGATGGTATTTGGTTTATTGGAGAGGTGAGTTGAAAACCAGCATGATTCCATCCCGAAAAATGACCCAAAAAATTAGTAGGCAGATATTTCTTACTGACAGATTAATACTTTCCTGGAGATTTTTTACCCAAATATATTAACTTTGTTTACAAACTCTACGTAACAGTTAATTAGTGACATAAAATCAACCTGTGTATGTTCATCTGTGTATATGTGCAGTAGCAAAGGCTTTAGGTAGAACTCTCTAGAAGTTGAGTCTTGCAGTTTGAGAAGTGACAGGAAATAATTTTGGCACAGAACAGAGTAGTGAAAGCATCCCGATCACTGACTTGTGTGGAAACCCGATGCCGGCTCCAGCTCTGGTAGCACAAGGATTTTCTCCCTGAATCCAGGGATTCTGACACTCTCCCTCAGAAGTTGTCCCCCCTTTCCTCTGAAAGGCCAGCAGCTGATCCCGATCCCAGCCCAGATCCCTCCTTCAGCCCGTGGGTCTCGGAGGCACAGAAGTGTTTCACTTTCAGAGGCCGCCCAGGGAGCCACGTGAGGCGCATGTGGCAGGAAATCATCTCCTGCAGGAGGGATTGAAACACACCTCTTTTATAGAGAAATACTGATTTTATAGGTGTATACTCATCACCTTTGTACTGCCCATCTCCTGGGGACAGGAGGGATTACACCCCTGTTTCTTACCTGTGTTGGCATTTCGTGGAGCAGGACAGTGTAGTCGAACTCAACAAAATCATCTTTCCTCATCTGGGTATGGAAAAAAAGGGAAGGATTATCATGAACACAGGTTTGTATTGTTGAAGTTTAGCTTCTGCTTTGATTTACTTGGCTGCACTGAGCTTGCTTAGGGACTGTGGTTGCTGGCTGGAGTGAGGTGGGTTTTGATCATGGAAAGATGGGGAATTAGGAGCACTTCCTGCATGGAATTCTTGAAGGCAATGGCTGCTGTGTGGCTCTGCAGCCCCACTCTCTGCCATGACACCAGGCTGGCCCAGGTGCTAATTAACTGAATTTCCCCCTCTGATGGATTTGAGAATATTGCCTGTTAATCTCTGCTTCAGAGAAATCTTGTGCTGAATGGAGAAAGACTGGGTCCTGCCTGTGGATCACAGGGACACAGAGCTTTGGGAGCTGCTGTTTGATGTGCTGGGGGGTCAGACCTGCTCCGCAGGCGGGTGTTTGTGCCAGGTCTGAGCCTGATGGTGCCTGTGAGCCTCACAAAGGGTCAGAGGGTGTGGGAGTGACCTGGTGTGGGGCTGAGGAACTGCAGGACCTGCAGAAGCCACTCATGCAACAAGGAAAGCCAAATTTTGTCCAAATGAGTAAAGTTTTCCCACCAACACCTGGACAAAGTGCCTGTCCAGAGGTGGAGATGCTGGAGAAGGGGAGGCCCTGGGGTTTGGGGGATCACACCCACGGCAGCAGTGAGAGCTGGGGGGTTCTGCTCCCTGCTCCACTCACCCACTGCTTCACCGACTTCACTTGTGCCAGGAAGTATCCCACGTCCTCTGTGGACTTTTCCCACATGAAGGAGCTGCTGCCAGCGACAGCCAGAGCCCAGGCTGGCTCCAGGGCAGGCTCAATGTTGCCATAGCTGTCTGCAGGGCACACAGAAACACAAACAATATCAATTCTGGCTGTTCAGCTGAAAAATGATGAACCACAGAGCACTTTGGCCTGGCACAGGCTGGTCTTGGGATGAGACTCTTCCCTCGGACGTGTCACAGGGAAAAGGGAGGAGAACGATGCTAAAGCTGCACCCCAGGAAAGTAGGAAAGTGTGGCAGGACTGACATTGCCAAAAGACAACATTCACGGGGTCCCACAGTGGGGTAAGAACCCCAAAATCCAGGATAATGGAAGTCTTTACCTAGCTGGGAGGAAAAGATGGAATTTTTCCAGGATGGAAAAGTTCTGTTAGTCATGCCCAGTGAATTTCCAGCCACAGCTGGAGAGGTTGTGGCTTGGGGCTCTTGTTATTCCTGGAGGGCATTCTGCATTTACTCGAATTTAAAATGGTGCTTTTAAACCCAAACCACCTTCAGAAGGTGGTGCTGATGCCAGTGTTAAATGCAAGGGGGTTTTGTTCTCCCAGAGGATCCCTGGAAGGGGGAATGTTTTGACAGCACTGTGGTTTCAGGGTGCTGCTGTAAATAACGTGTCTCCTTCCAGTGCATGTGTTTGCCTGTGTTCTTCACAGTGCCCTGGGAGATAAACCAAATACAGCTGATTGGCTGGGGGAATATACCTGGAATATTGCTCCCAGTTATTGGTTTGGTTTGCTGCCTGATTCTTTGGTAGAGTCTGTTGTCCTCTTCCTGGATTTCATTCTGGTCTTTGGTGTGTGAGCACTTGATGCTGACAACAGGAGGAGACTTTTTCCTTGGGTACAACACGGTGGCCAGGCAGCTCCCGGCGTTTTCCTGTCAAGGGAGAATTTAAAACTCTTACCTTTGATCAAGATTTTAGTTACCAGCAATTCAATCTTTGGGTAAAGCTGGTCAAGGGTCAGGAAAGTCTTCAGAAGGATATAATTTTTTTCCCCAGAAAAGTAAATGGTTTAAAACCACGAGGTTGAAGGGAGTTAACAGAAGTTTTTGATTAATGCACTAAGTCATCTTGGAAATGTGTTTGAGAGTTTTAAGAAATAACATTAATTGATAACAGGGACTTTCATTGTATTATACTTCAGCCTTGAAACGAAAATAATCTAATGCTTCATATTAAGTTCTGAGAATAGTTTGAATTCCACAAACTATGAAGGAAGAGGGCAGTGAAATTGCTGGTGACAAGTGTGACAGGGAGAGTGGAGGGGGTTAGAATTGAGAAGAACATGCAGCTGCCAGCTCATTATTCCCTTTCTGGGGTGTGGACAGCAGGAGCTGCAGTGGGATAATGAGCACAGTGGGATAAAGAGCACAGAGGGATAATGTCCCCAGTGGGATAACGAGGACCAGGCTGTCACGCTGTCACTGAGCTTGGGCCACGGGGAAGCTTCACTCAGGCCTTTGGTTGCCTGAGGTGACTCGAAATCCTTCAGGATTGAGGGCTGAGGATCTCTCAGGTGCTCCTCGGGGCAAAGCCCCTGACGGGCAGGCAGGGAGGAGCACGAAGGTCTTTCCATTGGGAAAGATCCGTTTCCTGAGCTCATAAATGTCCCTGGTTTGGAGCTGCTGAAGTTCATTCCATGCCCATGGTCAGAGGGAACACAGAGGATCCCAAACTCACCCCAGTCCTGTAGTCTTCTGTGCTGAACTGCAGGTAATACTTGTGCCCAAAGTCTGGGATGTTCTGGAAGAGAAAAGGTTCAGCCATTAGTGGAACTAAAGCCTTATTTATGTGCTGGGACAAGCAGTGAGGAGGGGAAACAACCATAAATAACCTGCACACCAAGGGATGTTTGAAAGCCTTTCCTCACTGAGAGGCAAGAGGGAAAATCCAGCTCAAAGTCCTCCCTGGGCCAGACTGTTCCAGAGTAACTTCACCAATACTGACATTCCCAGGGAGTGTTCAGTGTCCAAGGAGGTATTTTTGCACTGACTATCATATATAAATTAATCCAATCCTGCTGAGTCACAGCTGAACAGGAATTACACAGGCTCATTTAATATCTGAGCTTTTGGTCATTTGTGATGGGAAAGAAACTGGTTTCACCACACAGATTCTGATCTGTTTGCTCTGGTTTGCCCTGAAAATACCAGTCCTGAAGGATCCCGTTCAATTATCCAGGATTTTGCTTGGTAAGGAAGAGCAAAAGATAACTCCTTGCTGATAGGAAGCAGCCAGGAGGACAAAACACCTGAAAAGCCTTAGAAATGCAAACCTCTGAAATGTGTAATTTTCTTGGATTTGGGGGTTTTTAACTCGAGGGTTTCAGTTAACAAATGGACCTTCTAGTGTGGGATCTTCTGTCTCAGCTCCAAGCAGGCTGAAAGAGAAACTGTCTTTTAATGTTGGCCATGAAAAATACTTATTTCCCTGGGATTACCTCATCCAGTTGTGCAAGAGCAGAGCCCAATAACAAGTCTTGTCATTATCTGCTCTTTATTTCGTGGTCAGTCTTTTATTTTCCTGCCAACTTTTAGGCTGAGCTCTGAAATATCTGTATTTTTGAGTGTACGGGCACTCATTTGTTCCCCTTGCTCGGGTTTTGAACACAATGCTCTTCAGAGGAGCAGGAGGGGAATTGTGGCTGTCTGCAGCAGTTTGCAGAGCAGGAGCCAAAGCAAACGTGGGTTTGTGTTTCTCTAACCTTGAGCCCTCACGTTCCCTTCCCGGTTTCTCCCAGGAAGTTACTGATGCCATAAGGTCGGCAAAGCCCCACACCCCCCTGCCTGGAGTACCTGCACAGAGTTGTAAACTGCAGGTAAGAGGACAAACTGCTTTAATCACTTGTTCTATATTATAAAACCCCCTCCTGAAAGTTTAGGGTGAGCCCAGTGTGGAGCTGGAGCCACATCCCACTGGGAAGAAGGTGGAGGAAACGGAACGAGCTCAGACTTCTTTAATTCCTTTCTTCTTTTCCTCCTCGTTCTCCTCTTCCTCCTGCCCCTTTTCGTGTGTTACCTGAAATACTGTCCTCAAAATGGCAGAGAATGTGCCCTGAGGGGTCACTCAGCGTAGCAGAATGGGAAAAACTGACTTTCTGAAGTGCCAAAGAATCAGTAATCAAATGAAATTATAAGGAAGAAGGGTCTAATCTCTCACAATAATCACTGCAGTTAAGTCTAACTTTCTGATTATTGTAAAGCTACCCCAGAGCTGTTATTGCAGGGGTTTATAACATTCCTAATTTGATCAAATTTGGCTATTTTGAAGCACAGTGAGCCAGGCCTATTCCCTTTGGGTCATCACTGCACATGAGAGAACCTGAAAGGGTCAGCACTTGAATAGAGAATTCTGTGCTTTGGAAGGAGGTATTTTTGAAGGAGATGTTTTTGAAGCAGATATTCTCCCTTCATTTGCAACAACTCCACCACAGTACTACTAGTAGGTATTAGTACTACTACTCCCTAGAAAGCTTTCAAGAGGTGCCCCACAGCTAAAATACAGATTCAGGCTGGGGGGGCTTCTTTGAGTCCCCCAGGGAGGAGGGAGAAGGTCCATTTGGCAGGAAATAATTGTACATTTATGAAAGTATTTGTAGGTTCGAAGAAAAAAAATCACTTTTCTTTCCATTATTATTTCCCACTATCATCTGTAAACCCTCCCAGAGTGTGAATTCCTCAGAGCCCAGGGATATCTGAAAGCCAAAGATAAAAGTGTCCAAAAGAGAAGAAAACAAGTGAGTAATTCATTTTTCCACTGAATATCTGGGTCACAGGATTGTTTTATTTCCAGGCTCAGAATTCTTGCAGCTTTTCATGACGGATTTTTAGTGCCGTGGAGGCCAAAGCAGCAATTCCAGAGCAGGTCCCAACGGAGGGAGTCATTTTACAATCAGTTTACAATCAGTTTACAATCACTGCTCTCACTCCCCACTGGCACAGGAAGGGGGGATCCCTCTCTCACCCCAAACTGCAGGTTTCCATCTCTCCTCCTCTGTGTTTCCCACCAGCACTTTCCCCCTGGATCCAGTTTTTAGCCAGTTTTTTAAGCAGGAAAAGCTGGAACTGCAGAGAGAGGAGGGCGAGCTGTCCCTGCCACAGGTCCTGCCTTTCCCACCCTAACGGGGGGCTCTCACTGTTGGAAGTAAGAAAATAAGGAATTTTTTAATTGACTTCTAATATTAAAACCAGAGTTGTGGTATTGCACTGTTTTGTGTCCAGGTGAGGTTGTGAAGAGAAACATCCACCTGTAAAATGGGGACTTTCTAGTCCAGTTTAATCCAGTGCTGCAGTTTAGCCACAAGATTACCTGGCTTTACCTTCACCCTTCACCTCCTCCTAAGTTCTGATTTCCAGGACAGCTTGGGATGGGAAATGCTACATCAGTGCTTTGAAAGCCTCCTTCTTGACTTCTGGGATCTTCAGCTGGCACAAACTAAGACTTTTCTTATCTAAAGTGTATTTTAAAGTGCAGCTGTTTCAACAATTCCACGAGCTGCTGTTTCCCAGAGGATCCTCGCTAAAGGAAAAAGAAGGGACAAAACAAAGAGCAACCAGCAAGGCAGGGATTATTCCATGTTTGGCATCTCTCTGCTAGTTGTTGACAGGAGAGAAAAGCCCTGAAGTCTCATTTTACCTGAACATGAAAGATCCTTTCCAGGCTGGAGACTGTCTCCAGTCCTGTTTCCAATTACCAGTTTCACCAGCTAGTGGGCTAATAATGTCAGGATTAAATTACAACGCTCATTATTGAATTCCATGATAAAATCATCCTGGTTTTATGGGATCCAGTGATATAGGAACCAATAGGAAATTTGCCTTGTTTAAAAAAATTACTAAAACCCAGACAAACCGAAAACCCCCAAACCCCAACATTTCTGTCTCTTGCCTTCACCTCATAGAGCACATTCCTTCCAGGAAATTCTTGTCATTTTTTCCCAGTGGAGGACAGAAAAGAAGGAAGTGACCACGTTTAGCACTTTTCTCCTCTTGCTTTCACAGAGTGTGCAAAGAAAAAGGGGAATTAGACTGCAGAGAGTGGTTACAGTGAGCTCCTCATCCAGAGCTGGGAGGAAATAAGGAGGAATTTCACTTCTCTATAACAAACCAACTATTCTCCTTCCTATATTAGGAGTCAGGTGGCTGAGAGTGGGGGGGAAAATCCCTTTCCCTCCCCCAACCCAAATTAGTTCACAAATATTCACAAATATTCAGCTGGGAAGGGGATCTGCACCAACCCCTTCCTGCTGATAGTCTCTTTCCTAGGGAATTGCAGCGCTCCAGCAGGGAATTGCAGTGCTGCCAGCTTGTTCTTCAGCCAGGCACAAGTATTTATATATGGAAATATATCCATATATCCATATGCAAACTGCCCAGGAAATACAGAAGGAACATTTATCCGTTTGGAAAGAAGTATAAAACAGCACAGGAGGTTCCTGTCAGGGGTGTCTGCAGCAATTTCATAGGAAAACTGAATGTCCCACGAGCAAGTCCATACTCAGCACCTAATGTTATATTTAATGGCATATTTGGGAATGATGATGAGAACACAGAGTTACCTGAAGGGCATGATTCCAGATGAATCCATAGCAGAATTCCCCGGCAGGGCTAACACTGTCTTTCAGCCTTGCATTACAGCAAAGTCTGATTTTTTTCACAGTATTTTGCATTTTGTCAGATTTAATTGAAAATTATTTTGACCTGTTAAATATCGCGTGCAAGTCAGGCTTCAAATTGTTTTGGAGCCACTGCCAAGTGGGATTTATGGGAAGGATTCAGGATCAGGACTGCAACAGCACATCCTAAACTTTTTAGGCTGGCTCAGAACTTCTTTCTTGAAAGGGAAGATTTGACATTCCCAGTTTCAGGAGAGAGGGCCTGGGTTGCACACGCCGTGCAGATGCTGAAGGACAAGTGTTGTAAGGTCTCCAGAGCCATGGAAAGGATCCAGGGGAATCCAGTGCTGCATTTGGCCCTTTGGAATCCAAACCAAGCAGCCCTTGCTCAGAGAGCTGCCCAGCAGCAGGACCCGAGGGCTGGGTTTAAATCTCATCCCCTCGGCTCTCCAGGAAGGCAGTGCTTTCCTTCCAGGATCTACAGCCCGGGACAAACACTCCCCAGAAGCTTTTGCCTGATTTCTTGCCTTCAGAAACCGATCGAGCTGTAAAAAAACCCCCAAAGCTGGAGGAGGAGAAGGGCTGCACAGCACGGGGCTCATCCTTTGGGGAGCAGGGTCCGCATACCCCGAGCACCACCCCGAGCATCCCTGGCAGGATCCATGACGGGAAGGCTCTGCCCCTGCAGCTGCCCCTCTCTGTCACCTCAATTTGCCGTGCTTTTTGGAAGATAAAGCTGTGTTTTCTGATCTGCATCGCCTTTAGATGAAGTTCTTGGTCTGAGGAAGGGGCGGTGGGACAGCAGCCCCTGACGGGACCTGGGTGTCCCTGAGGAAGGGATGGTGGGACAGTGGTCCTGGAGGGGACTCAGGTGTCCCTGAGGAACGGAGTTGGGATAATGGTCCCTGAGGTGACCCAGGTGCCCTGAGCCACCTGAGGAAGGGGTGGGAGGGCAGCGGTGCCCTGAGGGGACCCGGGTGTCCCTGAGGAAGGGGAAGCGGGACAGCGGCCCCTGAGAGGGGCGGGAGGGCACTCCCGGTGCCCAGCGCGGGACCGGGCTAACCTCAGTTCTATATAACAATTAATATAATAATTACTGCTAATTGCAGCTATATACAATAACAACAATATAATAATTGCTGTTCATTGCACTTTCCCCGGCGTCGCTCTAAGCCCCGCGCCCCCTGGCCCCGCACCGCCCCCGCTCCCCCCGTACCTTTACGGTGGCCTTGCGGACCTGCCCCAGTGCCCGCAGCCCCCCGGGCGATCCCGCCTTGAAGTTGCGGTACTGCAGGGCCACCCTCGCTGCCGCCGCGGCCCGGCGGCTCCCGGGGTTCAGTTGCCACCCGGCGCCGGGGTCCGCGGGGACGGGAGCGGGGAGCAGCAGCAGGAGGAGGAGGAGGAGGAAGGCGGGCGGCCCGGGCGCAGTGCGGAGCCCGGGCATGGTGCGGGAGGTACTGTGGCGGCCCCGCGGAGGTCCTGTACTAATAGCGGGGGGCCCGTCCCCGCCCGCTGTCAGAGCGGGCAGAGTCCTGTCCCTGGGCTACTCCCCTTCCCTCAGCCCTCCCACCTGCCGGGGGGACGGGGCAGATGGAAGGGGAGGGTGCTGAGGGAACCCGGGGGGGCTGCAGGGGGGCTGGAGGGGAGCCAGGACTTCAGGAGTGCCCAAGAGGGACCGGAGTTTCTGAGGGGAGGTGGAGGGGACTTGAGAGGGGCTGGGGATGATCTGAGGGCAGCCACGGGGGGCTGGAGAGGAGCCAGGACTTGAGGGGTGCCAGTGTGCTGAGGGGAGATGAGGGGTGCGAGGAGCACGTAAAGAAGGGGTGAGGGTTCTGAGGGGAGACGGAGAGGACCTGAGAAGGGCTCGGGATTGTCTGAGAGGAGCCAGGACTTGAGGGGTGCCAGGGTGCTGAGGGGAGCCAGGGGGACGTGAGTGGGACCAGGGGTACTGAGGGGAGCCAGGGGGATTTGAGGGGTGCCAGGAGGAGTTGAGGGGGACTGAGGGTTCTGAGGGGAGTCAGTGGGTTTGAGAGGTGCCAGAGTACTGAAGGAAGCCAAGGGCATTTGAGGGGAATGGAGGTTCTGAGGGGAGCTGGGGGACTCGAGGGGTGCCAGGGGGGCCTGAGGGGGACCTTAGGTTTTGGGGGAGATGGGAATTTGAGGGATGCCAGGGCTTGAGGGGGACCAGGGAAGTCTGAGGGGGATACAAGGGGGACTTGAGAGTGGCCGGGAGTTGTCTGAGGGGAGCTGGAGGGGCTTGAGGGGCACTGGGGGTTCTGAGGGCAGTCCAGGTTTTCTGAGGGGGGCTGGGGGTCCTCAGACAACCCCTCAGCCAAGAGCAACGTCTGAGGAGAAACTGCTGCTCCCAGACAGATGTGCCACTATAACGACACAGATCAGAACAAACATAGGTAATTATGTGGAAAAACACACTTAGCTCCTTCTCAGCGTTACAACAACTCAACACTTCCCAAAATTACAGAGGCTCCTTCAGACCCAGACGTGCTTTCCCTGGGACACAGCTGAAATATTCCAAAAGCTGTGCACAAGAAGCAGAGGGAAGCATTCCTCCCTGAAATAAATCTCACTGAGTGAAGCTTATTGGAACCAGTGTGGTCATATCTCTTGTAACGGGAAGAAAATGAACTGAGACAGCGGCCAGATTCCCTTAGGATGGTTTTTGGGATACAAGTGGGCTTCTTGCCTTGCTGGTCCTGGAAGCATCTCTTGGAGACACTGAGTGCAGTAAAATGTAAAAGACTGCAACCCTTTCTGTGTTAAAAATGCTCGGGTTTAATGATCTACTCTGTTACCATCCAAGCAAATGGGTATTTGCATGTGCAGCTGGGAGTCTATTTTTATGCTTCTGGACGTGTATTGGGGAATATTTCTGGGCTGGGACCTCAGAGAAGTGAATCAGAAGTCTGGTTAAAGACTTAAACTGTCTCCCGTGGAGCTTTAAGTCTCTTTTTATTACTGTAATGCTTTTTCATAGAACTTGTAATTCAGTATTTCTGAGGCTGCCCTCAGTGAGGGAAATTACTACAATTTTTACATTATTATAACTATTACAATAAAGGTATAATATCATTCTTTATAAAGCTGTTTTCTGTGCCACACAGCGCAATAAATGGTCCTAATTTTGTTTGAGATCATGATTTTTCTTCCTGAAGTAAATTCTGTAATTAAGAGTTGGTATCTTCACATCCACACAGGACAGGCTGCATTGGGGTTGGAGCAACCTAGACTAGTGGAAGGTGTCCCTGCCTGGTGTAAAATTTAGGAGAGGGAGCAGGCTAATTTTTTCCTTATTGGGACACTTGCCATGTTTGTCTCCAATATTTTCTGTTTGGCTGGAAGGAACCGAGATCCGGCCTTTCCTCATTTACCCTCGCTGTGATGACAGCTCTGATATTCCTTTTAAAATGAAATCCAAAAGGGTGAGCGATTCTCCTCAGCTGACACGGGAGGGGTTTGGGCAGTGCCGATTGCTTCCCGATGTTCCCTTCGTGCCCTCGCAGCACAGCCTGGATGCGGGATGAGCCCTGAGGATTTCCTGGGAGCAGGGGTAGGGCAGGCCCACGGAAGGGAAGCAGGGAGGTGGAGCAGGATCAGCGGTGAGAAAGGCTTTGGTGCAGGATGTGAGGAGGGTGGGGTGGCAGGAGGTGAGGGCTGAGAGGGCTCAGTCCCTCCCGCTCCCATCCCTGTGCTCACGAGCTGCAGCTGGCCCAGGGAAGGAGTTAAACCCACCCTGCACACAGGCTTCACACTCACAGCTCTGCTGCTTTAGGTTTTGGGGGAGTTCAGAGGCTCTAGCGAGAGGTAAGAGCTTAAAAAGAGGTAAAATCTTGTAAATCCAGCTTTGTCTCTCCCGCTGGAAAAGCCTGCAGTCCCCTGGAGGCTCAGAGCTGAGCCCTGCGGCGCTGACCCCATCCCTGACTCTCTGTGCCCTTCCCTTTCCCTCGGGTTCCCCTCCTTTTCCTGCTTTCTGGGTCAGCCCCGCGGGCAGTGATAGGGCTGTTTCCTTCCTCCCGAGGGCAACAAAGGGGCTGTGATAGCCCAGGGTCGGGGTGACAGGGGCACAGAACCCGCGTCACAAAGCAGGGACAATCCCGGGGCAGTTTCCTAACATTTCTGCAGGTATTATGCTGCTGTAATTTGCTGTTGATCCAACGTGACTCTGGATTTACAAAACAGTTTGACCCGGGGAAAACGAAAGCTCAAATGCTGAACAGGTCCAGGGTGATGTTTGTAAACATGGACAAGACTAGTTTGTAAACATGGACAAGCACAGCTTTTGTGCCTCTACAACATTTAGAAAAGGTACTTTCTTTAAGCCCTGTGGTTTTTTGACCCTTAAAAGCTGGGAGTGCATCCTCCAGCAGCCAGGCCTCAAGGTAGGCTGGTTCAGGCCCTTGGGTGCCAGCAAAATGAAGCTCTATAGTGTGCAAGATCTGAACAAAAGGAGCTGAAGTGAGTGATCCGACCTGTGGGAGGAGTCCAGAGTGACACCGAGTTGATCAGAGGGCTGGAGCAACTCTGCTGTGAGGAAAGGCTGGGAGAGTTGGGATTGTCCAGCCTGGAGAAGAGAAGCTTCAGGGTGAGCTAAGTGTGGCCTTCCAGTGCCTGAAGGGGCTACAAGAAACATGGAGATGTCTGTTGACAAGGGATGGAGTGACAGGACAAGGGGAATGGCATCCCACTGCCAGAGGGCAGGGTTAGATGGGATATTGGGAAGGAATTTTTGGCTATGAGGGTGGGGAGGCCCTGGCACAGGTTGCCCAGAGAAACTGTGGCAGCCCCTGGATCCCTGGGAGTGTCCAAGGCCAGGTTGGACGGGGCTTGGAGCAACCAGGGATAGTGGAAGGTGTCCCTGCCCATGGACCCATTGGGCTTTAAGGTCCTTCCAGCCCAAACCATTCCATGATTCCATACATTCTAGTTAGCTACAGTCTGGTGTATGTAGGCTCTGTCCTTCTTTAGCATTTTTTCCCTCTCATCCCAGTTAACCTGGTCCAGGCTCAGAGAGGACTGGTGTCAGTTCCTGAGCCTCTCTCACTCTTCCCTGCTCTGTTCCCCTTCAGAAACCAGGACACTCTGGGAGAGTTCCCAAGTTTGCATTACACTTGTGTCACAGCTGACTTGGACCCTTTGGAAATGGAAATGGAAATGAGGGTTGTTTCAGGCAGCTGCTCCACAAAGCATTCTGAGGTTTGCATTTTCTCTTTTCATACATCAAATGCTTGTTTAGAGGCCAGTTATTGCTAATTTGCTTCATATTTGAAGGCTATTTCTATACCCTTTGGATAGAACAGACCTCACTGGCTCATAATCACTACCAGATGACTGTAACGGCATACAATGAATTTGGACAAAATTCAGTTTATTTTGTTGTGCAACTTTTCCACTTTTATCTTCACCATCTTGCTATAATTAAGAACAAGCTCCATTACTTGATTTGAACTGAATTGTTTGGGGCTTTATTTTATTCTGATCGATAATTGTGGCTTGATTTAGTCTCTATAATTAATCCCAAGATCTTATTTTTAATTAGTTTCCAAATATTTTGCTGGATAAATCAAGGATAGTTGATCTTCTAATGCATTGCTGGGCTGACCTTGCCTGTAGGCACAAAAATATGTGCGTTGGTTTAGTATGGCTCATTTTTTTCGGGGTAATTTGGCTTCTGATTATTTTTAAATCATGGACAAAGCTTTTTTTTTAAAGGGAAACATTTATGTTCAGTGTCAGCAGAGACAGACCCCAATCTTTTTACAAAAGGGAAAGTTATGTTAAAGCCAAATCAATTCTCTTATGTTTCAACACGTTTTCTAAAAACCTGTTTATTATATGATTGGCCTATGGGGAAGTTTGTTATAGCTCCATAGGGAACTAGGAAAAGATAAACAAGAAGAAAGAAAGCAGATGAAGCCTAGAAATAATCTCTGTGACAGGAATTACCACCAAGGCCTTTCACTTGGCCTCCTGTTACACTTCTGGTTTTGACCAGAATTGTTAGAGTAGGAAATGAAAAGTGAAAGGATATGAAAACCATCACTTAAATGCTGTATTTTGGGTCAGAACAGGAGTGATCACAGAATCCCAGAATGGTTTGGGTTGGAAGGACCTTAAAGCTCAACCAGTTCCACCCCTGCCATGGGCAGGGACACCTTCCACTAGCCCAGGTTGCTCCAACCTGCCCTTGGACACTTCCAGGGATCCAGGGGCAGCCACAGCTTCTCTGGGCAACCTGTGCCAGGGCCTCCCCACCCTCCCAGCCAGGAATTCCTTCCCAATATCCCATCTGACCCTGCCCTCTGGCAGTGGGAAGCCATTCCCTTGTCCTGTCACTCCAGAGCTTTGTAAATTGTCTCTCTCCATTTTTCCTGTCGGCTCCTTCAGGTCCTGGAAGGCCACAATTGGGTTACCCCAAACACTTGACTTGTCAGGGACAATATTTATGTCTGTCAGGAGGGTCTGGGTACCCCTTCTGGCCAAAAACCTGCAGGTTG